TTTCCATAAGTGTCGATATGAAAAAAAAAAAACAAAATAAAAAACATTATTTAGAAAATAAAAAAGCTCCAAAAAATAAGTATTTACTAGAATTTTTTGACAAAAAAATCAAGGCTTTTCTTTTGGAAATTTTTTAATCAGCGTTGGCTGACCAAAATATTTTGAGAATAACGAAAAAAAGTTTAGAATTTCTCTGTTTTTTTTTTTTTTTAAAAAAAAAAAAGAAATCAATATTTTATTTTATCTTAAAATTTGTCTAATATTAATATCCATAGTAAAATTAAAAACAAACAAATGAATGAATTTCCTTTACTTTTCTTTTCAGAAGTTTTCAGAAATAGCACTAAAATCCTTATGAAAAATCATTAGATTTAATGATTATAAAGGACTTTTTTCAAATTTTTTATGCTGTATAGGGTTAGGGGTTTAGAAAAAAAATAGATCAGTAATAAGCTCAGTGTACTTGAACCCCCGACAAGGAATGATCTTCATCCCTCTTTCCAAAAACCTGAATTTGAATTTGATTTAACTCTCAAAACAGAATAGTATTTAAACTTAAGATAATTTATATATATTATTTTAAAAGTTTATTAATCTCCAGACAATTGGGGTTCCAAAGCTACGGGTTAAGTTTAGAGATGGTTTGTGGTTGTCTAAACATTCTAATTAAGTGTCAGGCTTCTTCCAAGTAGTGCTGATACTAGTGTCCATTCCTGTTCTTTAGAAAATATACCATATATGGTGAATTTTCATGAACGGTTGATGATTAGTAGTTTGCTGACAAAATGTCATATATATAATTTTAAAGCTAGATTAGAAAGTTAGCCAAAATTTGGGAATATTTAATAAAAATAATAATAATAATAATAAATATTATTGACTAATTCAAGAATACCAGTCAATAATTAATAAATCACACTGACATAATTTTTGTCTAATGATATTTTGGTAATGACGGGGTAAGGCCTTGAAACTCTTTCAGATGGGTCTGAAGTTTTAAAGACAAAAACTGCTTTAATTGAAAAAAAAAAAAAAAAAAAAAAAAAAAAAAAAAATCATGTGCCAGAGTGCCAGTGTAGAATTGAAACTATGAGTTTTTTACACCACAAATATCAAAATTTCAGCATTTAGTCGTGTGAAAAAATTGGAAACCAGGTGTTATTTTTTTTTGTAGTCAAATGAATAATTTTGTTGAAGTTTTTTGAGAAAGAGGTGTATGCTACAATTTTTGAGTCTTTTACATCCTTAAAAGTTTCGATGTATTGACCCAAAAAATTTTTTTATTACTTGCAACTACTCTAATATACATGGAGGCTGTTCATGTTTTTTTTTTTGCCAATGATAAATAAAGTCTATTAAATGATGAAATAATTTAGAAAAATAGAAAAATAGAAAAAAAGAAAAAAAAAATACCTAAAACTACTGAATGGAAACGAACGTTTTATTGTAACCTAGGACGCATCACCATTCACCTTGGATACATGTAAATTCAAAGGTTAAGGGTTATTAAAACCAAAACAAGCTTTGGGGTTTCTTCTCAAATGTGACATGAACTTTGCCTTTAGTATCAATTTGGTATTTTTGAAATTGATTTAGCCATGTCGTTTGAAACATTGTCTTTAAGGAGAAGTTTGTTTGCTCTTGTTGCTGTGGCCGCAATTTTTAACTTTTGAATTCAACTATTGTATGTAATAATGTAAAGCAAATCATGTAAAGAGATTTATTAGAAGGTTAGGGTTGGATAACTTGAATAAGCTATGCGTACAGGACATAAATGTTACCTGAGTGTGACATTTGTTTTCAAAAAAGTATTTCTGAAAGAAATGCAGCCGTTTATTAGGTAGTCTTGAAGATTTACTTCTTTTTTTTTTTGTTACGTTCTTTGGCTCGTGTGCTTGATCCGCCATTTATGTTTCACTAGTGTAATATTCATTACTTTGATATATAAAGCCCAGGAAGGCAACTTAGTTATAGGGCTAAGGGTTTCTACAAGAAAATAAACTTTCGGTTTGCAGATAAAATGCTACGTGAGTGCGACATTTGTTGTCAATTTGTAGAAATTGAAATTGAAATAGCCTTACTTTGCAAATTATTTCATTTAAGTTTATGTATTTATTTCTTTTTTTATGTTGATTTTGAAGTTTGTTTCAAGGTAAGAAACTTTGTTGAATACAGATAAAGTTGAAAATAGGAGTGATTTATTATGAATCTTTGATTACAATTTAGTGAATTCATATAAAAAAATTTAAAACTAAAATAATTGAAAAAAAACAATCAATAATATTATAGATTGATTAATTGTAAAATAACTTAAATCAAAAGGTAAAAAGAAAAAAAAGGTCCAAGCTTTTTTGTTATAATTTTAAAAATGATTTTTCTTTTTTTTTTTTTTTTAAAAAGAAAAGTATTGTTTCTTTTTATATTTATTTTAAAAGAAAATAGAAATTCCAAACGCCAGCTAAAAAAAAAAAGAAAAAGAAAAAGAAAAAGAAAAAGCTCAAAGGGTTAGGGGGTTTTTTATATAAAATAAACTCAGGGAATAAGAAAAAAGTGCTACCTTTTTCTTTCATCTTTTATCAAATTGCAATGTTTGAAATTAATCTAGCCTTACTGTTTGAATCATTGCAGTATAAATTTACTTTTCAGGAAAGAATAAAGCTCTTTGCATGAAATAAAAAAAATAAAAGTACAAGACAATTATTCAAATAACTTAAAATAAAAAAAAATGAATTTAGAAGAGTCGTGTGACATACTTGAAAGTTATTATTTAATGAAAACAAACATAAAAAAAAATTGAGTTTTAGTCTGTTTTTTTTTAAAAAAAGTTATAGAAATGGCAAAAAATGAAAAAAGAGGGTTAAAGAATTGTTATTGCTTTTGTTGAGGTGGTTTATTATTGTTCCAAATATTTCGTTAATCAAAATGATTTTAGAAAGGGAATCCCCCTTTTTTTTTCCCCCTTTATTTTTTATTTCTTTAATACTAAAAATGTATTATTCCACATTGAGTGATAGATTTGTGCTACCAAAAAGCAATCAAAAGTTGGGAAAAAAAGGTCAAAATTTTATTTTATTCTATTTTTTTTTTTTTTTTCAAATCGGGAAAAAGGGATCCGAAAGAAAGAAAGAAAAAAAGACAAAAGACAAAAGACAAAAAATGTTAAATACAAAATGAATTAATACTAAAATAAAATAATAAAATAATTAAAAAAAACAAAAACAAAAAAGGGTTTAAGAAATTTATTCAGATTAAATGGGATTGTAAATTTGTGTGAAATTAACTTTCTTTATATTTATATATATAAGCCATTGTATATATATATAAATAAAACCTTTTTAAAAGAAATGGAAAACGTTAAATAGTAGGTGGACCCTGAGAATTTTTTTTTTTTTTTTTTTCTTTTCCTTTCAGCTAACAAATAATCATCAATGAACTTTTTTGTTATTGGTCAAAACGAAATATTAATGATGATAAATTCAATTAGCCCAAATAAATTGAAAAAAAAAAAAAAAAAAGGAAACTCTGTTTTGTGAATAACTTTTTCTTGAGAAAAGGGAATTTTTTTTTTTTTTTTTTGTTTCTATAATAAATTATTTAAATATCTGATTTTTTTTTTTTTTTTGAGATTTGGTTGAGAATATTTATTTATTTTTTTATAGTGTATTATTGCAAGAAAGTTTTTTTTTTTTTCTTATTAAATTCTTTTTACAAGACTATCTATCTATCTATCTATTCATGAAATTTAGTGCATACGCCTTGGAACGTTGACAAGTGACATTTGACCACCGCCTTTACTAAAAGTTTTTTTTTTTTTTTTTTTTTTTTTTTTTTTCTTTCTCTTCTGGCTAGTCTGTCTCATTAAAAACAAACTAACTAACAAATAAACTTAGGGTTCAGGTTTTAAGATTTAAAATTTTTTATTATGTTTATAGCAATCAATTGATCCTAATGTTGAGCAGATTGTAAAAAAAAAAAAAAAAAAAACTTTAATAAATAAAATGAAGTTTTGTAAATCAAGATATTTTTTTAAATAATAGAAAAAAAGATAAGAAGTTTAATTAATAAAAAAAAATTATTTTTTTTGAAATTACAAATCACTAGAAGAATGAAACTAGAATTGTTAATCTTGAGTATCCTTTTTTTTAAACAGAAGCAAAAAAAAAAAAAAAAAAAAAAAATCAAATAAAAAACAATTCCAAATGCTTAAATATATATAAAAAAATATTGTTATTTAGTTATTTCATTATATATTAGTTGTTATTATCACTGGTTTTTACAAAATTGAAGAGTGAACAACAACAACTTAATATTTAAAAAATGAAAATTTCCAAGTCTATTTTTGTCAATTTTAAATTTTTAATAGAAACAACAAAAAAATAAAAATAAAAATAAAAAGATATTTAATAATAATAAAATAAATTGATTTAATATTTATAAAAAAGTTCAAAGTCTTTTCAAAGTCTTTTCCAAAAAAAAAAAAAAAAAAAAAAAAAAAAAAAGTATATTTTCGGTATTATAAAACGTTGCTTTTTCAGAAATGATTTTATAAACTTGCTTATATAATCTAAGAAAGGAAATCTTTTTTTTTTTTTTTTTTTTTTTTTTTTGACATCCCATTTAATATAACGCCTAACCCCAATTGGTGTTTAATCGTTTAGAATCCAAAAAAAAAAATCCTTAACAATCAAAACCGTTTAATACAATTAATTGTATATATACAATATATTGTTTTTTTTTATTATTATCAATCATATCTTTTGAAAATTTAAATTTAAATTTAAAATTAGATTATTATTATTATTATTAACTTATAAAAATTTAGAAAACGTTTTTTATATATATATATTTTTTTTTTAGTTAATCGCTGAAACAAACAAATATTAACAAAAGACGAGTGAAGAAAGAAAAAACAGAAGCGTCCCACTATAAATACACAACAATAGCAAAAAAAAAAAAAAAATTGAACTTGTCAAAACTTATAATCTACCCCCATATAGGTTCTAATAGACAGTGCTGTTAAGACTTTCACCTCCCATCTTGGGATTCTTGGGGTGTAAGACCTTGTTGTTATAGTTGGCAACGAAGTTAAGGGTAAGGCAAGCAAGGAGACCGAGTGCAATAACAATGGGGCCAGTAGGGTTGTCAAGATGCATTTCGGAACGATTGCGAATGTGCTTAAGACGGTAAAGATAAGTACCATAACCCCAGAGACACGAAAAGACAGTAATGCCAAACAAAATGTAAGCAATCAGAGTGGCAGTGGTCTGATCACGGGCCTTATTGACGGAACTGTAAAGAGTAAAAGTAAGGGCAGAGAAAAGAACAGAAACGTGGAGCCAGCGGTTGAAAGTACGCTCATTGGCAAGCCAAACTTTAACCTCAACATTGACAGGACCGCTCTGGCGAAGAAGAGTATTAGGCTTGACGACACCAGGGGGGAGAATAATTTCCTCATCTTCAGAGTCACCTTCAAGACGGGGACCTGAGGAAGGCCAAAAGGCAAGACGCTGGAGGAGCTTTTTGCCACGGGCCTTACGGGAAAGGTGTTGAAGGTCTTCCTCATCCTCAAGATCCGAATCGTCATCATCAAGGTCAGAGTCATCATCATATTCGTCGGCCTTCTTCTTGGAAGCGTCTTCATCAGTGGGAGCAACCTCAGTAGTTTCCGAGACTGGGGTGCTGGAAGAAGCGGCAGTTCCAGAAGAGACAGGTGCAGAAGAGGGGCCTGCAGCGGAGACCTTGGGAGAAGAAACAGGCTCGACGCGAGGGGATGAACGGGAAGTGAGAAGACGAAGCTTATCCGACTCAACAGAAGCTTGTTTGGACTCCTGGATGCGGCGGCGCTGTTCCTCCCAGGCCTGCTTGGGGTCTTGGCGAATGTCGTGCTCCAAGAGATGGAGCCAAAAGGGCAAGAGGTCAAGTCTGTCATCCTCAGCAAAGAGAGAGGCAATACCCTGGATAAACTTGGAGAACTTGGGGACTTCCTTGACTAGGTGAGACTTTGTGAGTTCGGAGATCCACTTGCCATGGCGCTTGGTGGGGACCAAAGCAGAGATAGACTTGACGCTGGTGCCAGGAGTGGTGGCGAGGGTAGAGGTAGTAGGGTCACCCTTGTTCAAAACACGAATTTCCAAGACGGCAAAGGGGAACTTGACATATTCACCCTTACGGAGGATGGAGAAGGGGTTTTCAACGCCAGGGACGTCAATGTCTGAGCGGTGCCAGTTTTCAGGGTCTCTGACAGGTCTGTCCTTATCAAATGAGTCTTCACGGATAAAGACAATGTCACTATCAAGAATAGCACGAACACGGTTATCACCGGGGATTTGAAAGGCTGAGCGGGTATAAACAGTACGAACAACGGGCTGGAGGTCATGCTCGGCAATAAAGTCCTGGAGGTCAGTGACAGTTTTTTGGTATTCGTCAACTTCGTGTTGGGAGGAGCCACGGGCCTTCAATTTTTGGACAGTTTTTTCCATGTGGTACTTGCCCGTAATGAATTGCTGAATATATTTTTCCTTGATTTCAATGCGCTCATCAGGAATGTAGTCACCAGAGGAGGAAGTATGATCAATGACCTTCTTTTCAATGGTAATATCAGGCTTGTCGGTGAGCTTACCGGACCATCTGATTCTCAATGATGGAGAGACATCATTTTTCTGGAGCTTAGCCTCATAAAGGTCAAAGTTTGGGTTATCAAAGTAAAGCGAAGTGATGGTAGGGTCATGCTGGGGGTGGGCCTCAGCGTCGTCAGTTTCACCATGAGATTTGGAGCCGTAAACAAGAAGAGGAAGGTGGCGGAGAATGCGGGTTTTAACTTCCATGACATTGTCAGGGTGGACCCAGAACTTGTAGGTTGTATAATCTGAGTTTTCAGAGTTTGTGACAGAGGAGAGTTTAGCTGAAGCAGAGGCAGCGGTGGCATCTGCACCAGTGAGGTTTTCAGCGAGAAAGGCATAAATGACCGAGATACGGTAAAGAAGAGGAGAGTAATCTTCAGAATGGAAGGGGAGGGCATTGAGACGGACTTGAAGAAGGGGTTTAACTTGGTACTTTGAATGAAGACGGTCATGTTTTTTAACAATTTTGGTGAAACCAGTAAAGTTAAGACGCGAGAAACGATCGAGTTGTTTTGCTTCTTCAAGAATCTCTTCTAAGTCAGACTCAAGGGCTTTCCCATCATCTTCAGTAAACTGATGAGATTCGACAGAGTTGTTGATACTTTTTTCAATAGTAGCTAGGCGGTCAGAAAGGGATTCATAAGTCTTTGTTTGGAAAGAATAAACCTTTTCAAGTTCTTTATCGAGGGCCTCAACAAAGTTGGTTTCGTCATCAGGAGTCCAGGATTCTTCAGAGACAGGAATGACATTTTCTTTGAGAAGTTTTTTAAGAACCTCGTACTGAACATAGGCGTCACGCCATGGCGGGTAAATTTCGTTAGCAAGACGGACACCAAAGAGCATTGTAAAAGGATTTGGTGATGGTAATGATGATTGTAATGGTGGTAGCGGTGATAATTTTTAAATTAAAAAAAAAAAAAAATGGAGGATACTTTTAAGACTGACTATATAAAGTGAAGATGAAAGCTTGGCTCTTTTTTTTTTTATATATATATTTTATTTTATTTAATTTATTTTTAATTTATTTTTTTTTTCCCACTTAATGAATTGAGAAAGTAAGAAGAGGAAGAAGAAAGAAGTTTAAAAGTGAAGAAAATAAAAAAAAAATAAAAAAGTTTCTCTTTTTTTTTTTTTTTTTGAATATAAATTTTTATTTAATTTTTATTATTTAATATTTATTTAACATTTAATTTATTTGAATATTTTTATTTAAAATTTTTTTTTTATTTTCAAATTCATTTATTTATTTATTTATTTATTCATTTATTCATTTATTCATTTATTCATTCATTCATTCATCTACTAAATATGTCCATTTGGTTGTACAGCCTTTTGTGAGATCGAAAGGAGCAGCAGCACAACTTACAAAAAAAAAAAAAAAAATTCAACCAGCCAGCCAGCGGGCGCAAAGACGGCGCGTGTATGTGTGCAGCCAACAAAAAAAAAAAAAAAAAAAAAAAAAAGGCAGCCGTTTATCTTAGAAAAAAAAAAAAAAAAAAAAAAATAGCAGCAGCAACAACAACAACAACAACAACAACAGCCGCCCGTTTCTTAAAGGAGCAGTGCAGCAGCAAAAACAAACTGTGGCCAACCCATCAGGCCAATTCAAGCACGTGCAGCCACCACAAAGGAAGCAACAACAATAACAACAGTAGTAACAGTAGTAGTAGTAATAGTAGTAGTAGTAATAGTAGTAGTAGTAGTAGTAGTAGTAGTAGTAGTAGTAGTAGTAGCAGCACTTTGGCAGCAGCAGCAGCAACAGCAGCAACAGCAGCAGCAACAGCAGCAACAGCAGCAAAAAAATAATAAAAAAATTTCAACTGCGCAAAAGCAGCCAAATTTGTTACAAAATATTAATTGTAACACATCACGTGTAAGAAAACGTGCTAATTACCCGGTCAAATTAAAAAATATATATATATATATATATATAATGTAACTGTTTATGTAATTTATTTTTAATATTCAGCCGTACCTTTACACACACACACACATCACACCCCCCAATTCTAACTACCACCACCGATTCACTCAAGGCTTTCCACCCGCCCCCCCTTTTAAACGTCCCGCGTCCCGACCCGCTTATTTCAATATCTCGTCACCACTACTTACTCTCTCCCCCACCACCACCACCGCCTCATCATCATAATAATCATCCCTAGACATGCACACATCTGCCGGCAAACTTATTGCCCGACTTCATGCACACAAGTCTTCTCCTTCTTCAAATGACTCCTTTAACTACTCTCAGCTCACAAGTGATCCGGCTTTAGCAGCTCTTTTCCATGACCTTTCTTTAGTCCTAATAACTCATAAACGCAACGGTGATTCAACATCTTATTCATACCGTTGTACTGCACCTTCTTCTTCTTCTTCTTCTTCTAACTCTAACTCTAAATCTGGAGAAATTCTCTCTCCTAAAGTCCCCCTCCCAGAAGCTTACTGCGAATTTATACTTACTATTGTACTCCAAGAAAATAATAACAACCATGGAATCTCTGATGGTCCTACAATGACTTCTTTTTCTGTCAAAATTATGGCCCCACTCTCCCAAACAGACCCTGAATCAGTGCTGGCACAGTTTTTCGAGTCCTGCATCGGGAAATCATCTCTATCTTTACCTTCTTTACCTTCTTCTTCTTCTTCTTCTTCTTCCATTTATCCCCATAATGATCTTGTGTCTGCACTTCACGGCGCAGCTTCATTTGCTCGTCTAAATACTTGTCGTGCTGCCATTCTCACAGAGTTTACAAACAAATACGGCTCGCACCTGCAACTTACCACATGGCCTCATGGATCCACTTATGCTTTTGCACCTCCGCAAAAATCTTCTTCTTCCTCTTCTTCTTCTGAAAACTCTTTCCTTGCTCACAAATATACCTTCCTACTTGTGTGGTCTATCGGTATCCACCCCATCACAAAATCTCCCACTGCTGATGCCTTCTCTAAAATCTCTGGCCAGCTGGTTCCGGCCTCAGACAACCTCTCTCCAACCGAACAAAACTACATCCAATCATTCCCCAAAGCTTTTAAAGCTCTCATCAAACTCAATGGTCTTGTAAAAGCCGTTGAAGTTTGTCATAAACTTCTGTACACTTAAAAAAAAAAAAAAAAAAAAACTCCAAAGATAATAATACATTACACACTACCTCAAAACATCATTACCAGTACCAGTACTGTGACCACCAAGACCTCCCCGAGAACCATCCCCATCAATTAGATTCCCAAGACTCATTTGCTTCGAATGTGGCATACCTCCATGTCCAGAAACCGCCACAGGCACAGGCATGTGCATCTGAACAGGCAAAGATACTTGTACAGGCACTGGCATCTGCATCGGCATCTGCATCTGAACCTGCTGAGAAGCCTGCGCTCCTGCCATATGAACCATATGGCCCTGCGGGGGTGGAGGCGATAAAGATGACCCACCTGCTCCCATACCCGAATGATCAATCACTTGCCCTCTCGTATTCACAGAACTACTACCACCATTGTGGTACATATCAAGCGGCCCAGGCTGGTGCATCCCCATCATCGGCCCTCCTGGCCCAGCCATTTGTACAATCATTCCAGGGTAATTCTGCATTGGTATTGACTGCATATGATGATGATGCTGTTGTTGTTGTGTTGGAATTTGCATTGACTGCTGATGCTGCTGCTGCTGCTGCTGCTGTTGTTGTTGTTGTTGTTGTTGTTGTTGTTGTTGTTGTTGTTGTTGTTGTTGTTGCTGAAATTGAGCTGGATATCCGTGTGGTTGTACTAAACCTCCACCAGCTGTTGCCCCTGCATCCACCATATATGCTGGCCCATTATTTGTATACACGCGTGCCCCCATCGTACCCATCGGGGTAGTCACCATTGGAGCCATCACCATCCCACTCATATCTCCAGAAGTATTGCCCCCAGGATTAAGCACAGACTGATGCTGATGCTGATACTGTTGCTGTTGCTGTTGCTGTTGCTGTTGCTGATGCTGTTGCTGCTGCTGATGCTGATGCTGTTGCAGATGTGATGGCATTTGTGAAGTCATGGCCATACTCTGTTGTGGAGACTGACGAATAGGCAAGTGGTGCTGAATAGTCACCGTCATCCCTTGCTGTGGAGAATGCTGAATGGGTCCCGCCGTAGCCTGTTGTGGAGAATGTTGAATAGGTCCCGCCATAGCCTGTTGTGGAGAATGTTGGATGGGTCCTGTCATGACTTGTTGAGGAGAATGCTGAATAGGTACTGCTGCTGCTGCTGCTGCTGCTGCTGCCATAATCTGTTGAGGAGAATGCTGAATAGATGGCGCTGTCATGTTTATTTGAGGGGAGTGAATTGGTACAATTACTGTCTGTTGAGGTGAATGCTGAATAGGTGCAACCATGGCTTGCTGCGGAGAATGAATAGGAATATTAATTGATTGTTGTTGAGGAGATGACTGTAGAGCCTGTGGCCTGGGATATTCAACCACAAACTCAGTGTATGCCCCCTGGACTGGTGGAGGGTGTTGCAACAAGTTATCACCAGTTCCTTGCTCAATAATAACATTACTCGGCTCCTCAACCACAGCTGCAACGCTAACGCTGCTCTTTTGACTCTCAAAACTATCCTGCGAACTTTCAGCAACTATTGGCGCAGTGACAGCTACTGGTGTTGTAGCTGGTGATGCCGTTGTAGCTGGTTCTGGTGCTGATGCTGGTGCTGCTGTTGGTGCTGGTTCTGGTGCTGCCGTTATTAATGGGGCTGCTGTTGTCACTGGGGCTACCACTGGTGCCGGTACCGGTGCCGGTGCCGGTGCTGGTGCTGGTGCTGGTGCTGGAACTATCTTCTTTCGACCACCACGCTTAGCTACCGGTTTTTCTCCATCTTCTTTGCTCACCTTCGCCCCTTCGGTTGTTACCTTAGAACCTCCATTCTTATTTGCAGGTGTGCTAGCTGTTCCCCGCGGTTTGCGTGGCTTGCGAGTCTTTTTCATTGGTGGTAATAAAGGCAGTGGCGGAGAATGCACTTGGTCATCAGATTCATGTCCATCTGTAACACTTATCGGTGTACTCAGTGATTGTTGTAGCTGTAAAGAATTCTGCTGTTGCTGTACCGGTTGTTCCTGTTGTTCCTGTTGTTCCGGTTGTTCTTGTTGTTCTTGTTGTTCTTGTTGTTCTTGTTGTTCTTGTTGTTCTTGTTGTTCTTGTTGTTCCAATTGTTCCAATTGTTCCGGTTGCGCTGAAAGCGGAAGCTGCTCAGACGACTCATCTTCTTCACCTCGTGGCGACTCAGATCCTCGACCAAAATCTTCGGCAACATTATCTGACTCCGTAGGTGTTCCTTCTGCAGACCCAGATCCAGCTCGATTGACTCCCACTCGTGACCAGTGTCGCCGCTCCTTCTTTTCTTGCTCAGCAATATCAAATTCCATCTCAATCTCCGATGCAAGTCGTTCCCGTTCCTCTTGAAGAACCCGCTGAACATGCTCATACTCTTCATCCTCACGCTGCGTTTGTTGCTTCTCTCGCTTCTCTCGCTCGCGTCCAATTCGTGCTAGCACCTCAGTCTCATGGATCCGCCTCGCTGCGTCCCATGCTCGCAACCATCGCGTTGATCTCCGAAACATTCGCGCTCGCGCCAAGCTTTGCTCTCCATAATCACCACCATAGTCAATCCGGTTGTTTACAGTCACTTTGGCAGAAAGTTTGCTGACAGTGTTGTTGGCATTACCCAACGTCGCGGGGAGAGCAGGCATTGCAGGCAAACCAACATATCCTAATGCCGCAAGAGACACAGAATTTCCAGGAATATGGTACCCATATGGCTTGCTTAACAGATTCTCATTGTTAGGCCCGCTATATGTTATACCATTAATATCGGGGTAATTGAGTCCAGCGTCGCTACCTGCTACGGTAGATGAACCACCAGCACCAGCAGAGTTTGAATTTGTAACTGGAAGCCCATGTACGTAATCCTGCGGTGGAAGATGCCGCTTGCGTTTCTTATGTACAAGTAAGTTAGCAAGGTCCTCCTTATTTTCAGGGTCCTTGGACTCAACCTTTTCAACCTTATCAGCCTCCTCAGGGAAATCCTCCACATCAGAGTCGTACAAAGGATCATGATCTTTAATTCTCATCCACTCGAGGTACATTGCTCCAGCCTTCTTTCTCTTACGCCGGCTTTCGTTGTCAATGATTCGAAGCATTTTGGAAATCTCAATCTGGCACTGTGTGTCGCGTGCAGATATCCGTGAGTTAAAAGAAACCGGTGCAACAGGCTCTGTTTTACTAGCTGCTCGACCAGACGACCGTGCCGCTTTTTTTGTAGGGCTTGATGGCTTGACTTTTGATTTCTTCTGTGTTTCATCTTCAGATTGTGTAACTGGGTGTTCACCTTTGGAAGTGTCAACCAATTTATCTTTTTCTCCATGTGTGGAATTATCATCAGTGTCCTTGTCGTCAGCCCCTTCAGACTCTGCTGTCTCCGTATTTTTCCCACTAGCAGATCGTCGTTTGGAATCACCTTGTTTGCCCTTCATGTTAGTCGTTACTGGTGGATTAACCAATGACGAGTTGATAAACGGAAATTGTTGCTGGTTGCTTTGCTGGCTCGAATCAATGTATAGCTTCCGCTCTCGTGTCATATTATGACCAAATTCAATCTCTTGTTCAGGATCAACGTTTTCTTGGGTTAATTGTTCAGGTGATAAAACAACAAACTCCGGAATCTTGGTGCCATCGCTTTGACCAACCCCAAACGGATTTTCTTTAAGACGCTCAGGACTCAAGTCTGTCTCTAGCAATGTCCACATGAGCCACAAAAAAGCCTTGCCTCGCGACTCACTCGATAAATTTGTATTCATGATAAGGTCATGGAACTCATATGGGCTAACGAAAAAGCGGTCTTGAACGCGGCTCGCAAATGTAGAAACTAAAAAAACAAGATTAATGGGGTTGGTTTTGGGGAATGTTTCAACAGCGGCAAGCTCGTCCAATGTTGAGGGCTCTACTCGGTCTTCACAAGCGCCCTTGAGAATACTTTTAAGACGAGGAGCATCCTGTAGTTGTTTGTACTCAGATTGATCATTATAAGTCTGAAGTGATGGAATTGGGTGATATGTACGTAGTTGTGCTCGCATTTCTGGGAAGAAGTTCAGTGTAGTGTTCATGCGGCCAATGTTGACAAGAAGACAAACCATGGCCATGTTGAGTCCAGCTTTGCGGTCGCCCAACAGCTTCTCACAAAGAATTTTCGATGTTTTGGAAGAACGCGCCATGGCGTCTATATAAATGTCGGCAAATGAAAATAGTTCATCAGAGATTTCGTAACTGTTGCGAAACACCTTTTGGTCGTTGTGAAAAACAGTGGAAAGAAAGTCATACTGAATATCGGTACGCCAAAGGGGCTCACCATCCAATTTTTTGAGGTGTTTGATTTTAGACCCTGTGTGGAGTGTTTGAAATGTACGACTGTGCGATCGGCGCTTTTCTTCGGTACGCGGAGGCCAGGTAACTGAAGCAGAGGAACCTGAATTCGCTGCCGAGGTGCCTTTGCGTTTCTCAGAGGTCTTTTTCTCACCACGAGACCGTGACCCGCGCTTTGCCACTGGAGCAGCAGTAGAAGTATTAGCAGAAGAAGAAGAAGAAGCGGCCACTTCGGGTTGCTGCTCGGATGTTGTTGTTGTGGATTTGGACGATGTCGCTTCGTCAACTGTCGCGTTATTGGTCATACTGGTAGTATTGGTGCTAGATGGAGGTTCTTCTGACATTGTCAATCTGCTGAGATATTTTATGGTTTGTGTGGGGAGAGATTGTGGAAGGAGGTACGTTTTATTGGCTGGCAACTGGGTTGGGTGGTGCTGTTTGTTGGGCAATTAAAATTTTTGCAAGGGTAAGGGGGTTGGAACGATAGGGAGTGAGAGACTTAGTTTAAAAGTTGTAAATCGTGTTTAAAAGCCGTAATACAGGTGGAGTAATAATAAAAAAAAAATAAAAAAAATAAAAAAACTGTTTTATATACAAAGTAAAATTGCTGAATTTAAAACAACAGCATAGTCTAAAGACAGATTTCTGTGCGTGCAAATGTCCCAGGAAATGTACAAACGTGGCCAAAACAAGAACTCAGGTCTATGTGAGAATATTGGCTGTGTGTGTGTTGTGTGTTGTGCGGATTGTTTGGCGGTGGTGGTTGAGAAATTCCCGGAGTGGAGGTTTTGATTTCTATTGTTGTGAGTTTTTTTTTCTTTTTTTTTTTTTTTTAAAAAAAAAATTATTATATTCAGAAAAATTATTAAGTAAGGCTTACTGTTAACTAATACTATAAATTAAATATTAAATAAAAAAATCCCTATTAAGCACTCAGGTTAACCTGTCCAGTCACCAGTCCCTGGTTAGACTTCCGCTTCAAAATGACTTTACTCAAAAACCATCTCAACTTTCCTTGCGGACGAACTGCTTGCTGATTGTTCTGTCCCCTACTTTGGGTACTCCCAACAATGCTCCCGCTTCCTTCACTAGAAACCATAGTGGTCTCATTAAAAGCAGTGGGATCGGTCATCCAGCTAAATCCCAAACTAGAAACATCATCATCAAATGAGTAAATAGTCGACTCATTTCCAAGCATTTCGTCATGGCTCTCCTGTCTTTCAGCAGTAACCCCAGTTGATCCAGCTGCTGCTGCTTCTGCAGCAGCAGCTACTGCCTTTGCCTCTGCCTCTGCCAAAAGTTTGGCCTCAATCTCTGCTTTAATTCTACCAATTTCCTCCTCGCTCTTAATCAAAATCCCAACCATATCTTCAATGCTTGCATTGTTGTTTGCATCAGCAATGGCCATATCAAGTGTAGCCAACTCTCGACTTCTCACTGGTTTCTCGTATTCTTCGTCAAAAATAAAGGCATCGAGCATCTCCACAATGCGAACATGACCAGTAGGATCGACAGCAAAGTTCTCAATTCGGATTCGGCCCAAAGCAACCTTTTGAAATAGAAGCTTTTCCACAATCTCTATCATCTGTCTTGTCAAAGAACCATCACGGTCATTGCAAATGTCATTAGCAGTCATCTTTCTGCCCCACGGTTTCATCACAAGCATCTTATTTGTCTGCCAAGTATCTCCAAAAACAAAAATGTCTGGAATAATGCTCAAGTTTACTTGTTGCTCGTACAAGTACTTGAAGATAAGAATTTCATGGTACATAAAGTCTTTGCTTCTGTTGCTGCTCTCAGGCATATATCCATACTCACTGTTGCGAATGATGACTTCATAAGACTTGACATTGGAAGAACCGTCAAAAATATTCAAGTATCCAGGCATATATGTCTTGTTTCGGACAATCTTTTGATTTCTGGTCACCCCAAACCATTCAGATCTGCGACTGCGGCACAAAGTAAGCATTAACTCCATCCCATTCTTCTTATAATCATCCACCTCCGCATTAAGAATAACTTCTGGAACAATGTCAAAACAAGAGATACTTTGAGCCACGTCTTCCTCCTGTACGCTATTGTCATTCCCACCTAGATCAGACCGTGTAAACTTTAGAGAGTGATTTTTCTTGTGCTCAATAACTCTGCTAACGACTTCAGAAGCGCTAGGACCAAGAGACCTCGAAGGAGTAGTGTAAGTCACGCCTTGCTCCTTATTTTCTGGTTTGTCAATTGCAATAAGTCCTAGATTCTTTACCATCTCTTCATCCTCCTCTTCAGTGGTAGTATTGACAAATTCATAATCAAAATCCCTATAGTTGTCAAAGGTATCTTGCGAGCCATTTGTTTCTTCCAAACCCATAATTACACTTGAAGGTTCAGACATATTATTGCTGCTTGAGTCTAGGTTTTGACTGTTGGCACTAGTGAGGTCAATTTCACACTCAATTTTATCGTCATACAAAAATGGTTCAAAATCGGGTTTAGTGGTTTTCCATTTGGCACAAGTGGTAGCATTGGAGTAAATCTCTGTAGCTTTAAGGTAATCTGAGATTTCTTCATCCTTCAATATAGAGGCAGCTCTTTCGGCTTCCTCACCTTCTACTGGAGCGTAAAAAGAGGGCTCTTTATCAAAATCGTCCACAATCACCAAGTTGAAAATATGTTGGGCAAAAGTGTATGCCTCAATAATGTCGACATCAACATCAAGATTACTCCAGGCGCTTTTATTTTTAGAAATCGAATCGATAAGATCAAGGTTGGGCAGGTCTTCCAGCTCGTAATTGTTGCCATTAGCTTCCATATTTGCCAGCATATGATCTGAAAAAAAATGTTTTGCAAAAGACACATCGTTATGAAGCTTTAAAAATTCTTCTTCAATCTGTTCACACTCAGAGGTTGGTAAAATGGGTACATGTTTTCCAGGCCACTCAGGAGACATGTCATCGCCACGAATAATGATGGAAATAAACATGGTGATGTATCCAATAATGGAACACACTTGAACACCGCAACTGGGAAAAATAGAATCGCGGGGCATGCTTCGGGATACCCAAATGGCGCCACCACCTTTACCATCACTATCAGAATGACTGTCAATGGTCTTTGCAATTAAGCGGACGTACTGAGTGTTAGCAATAATACCAAAGCAAATATCATGCATTGTCATATAGTTTACCAACTGTCGAATCATTTGAACACCAAACTTTTCATTGTTGTTAGAAGGACTAACCAATGATTTGACAAAATTGTTATCATTGAGATGAGGCAAAGTATTGCTTGATGCTTGATACATTGCCATGATATCGTACTTATAGATATTCGTATCATCACTGTTAGGAGAGAGATACGTGGTGTTCAAAGTGAAAAGATAGATATCAGGGCTCTGGTACTTGCTTTCTGGAGCATTGTAAGTAAAGTCAATTGACATATTTTCTGGGAGAGCCTGGCTAACTTGCTTAACAATATCCATAGCGATAGTGGAAGTCCGACGAATAATAACTGGTTCATTGTCAACCTTTGCCTTAGGAATCTTCTTATTTTGGAGGCTCTTGATGTATACCTCATCTCTACTGGGAGATGTGACCTTTCTCACCAGTCTCTTACGTCTTTTAATTGACCGACTCAATATTGATGATGCTTCTTCATCATCATCATCATCATCATCATCATCATCATCATCATCATCATCATCTGAATTTTCAACATTCTCTTCAGGAATGTAGCCATACAAAAAAGTTTCATAGTTTTTGTATTCAAAGCGATAGAAAGGGTTCGGCTCGTCTTCAGGGCGATTGGCAAATAAGTTGCAGCCCAAGAGTTTCAAGGCCACAAGAGTGTCAGATTCCTTTTTGAGAATGCGGTTCATTTCCTTCAAAACCACATTGTCTGCGTCGATCCAAAAACGAACGTTTTCAAAGGGTTCCATATTTCTCCAAACGCGCTCACCATGCTTGGCATTGTACATTGTTTTTTGAAGTTTCTTGGAGGTCTTTTCGAGCTCCTTTTGGTTGGTAGGTGCGTAAGCCATTGTACTATTGCTTATTATTTGTATTTTGTTATTAATTATTTTTTATTTTTTATTTTTTGATTGAAAAAAAAGAAAAATATTTTTTGAAAATTGAAAGATTTTTATCTCTTTTTATACCCTATCCATATTATAATTGGATTTAAAATATTATAACAATTCCTAAGCATGAAAATGAACTTTCCAACGTCAACTCTTGCTCTAATTCTTTGTAGCATTAAAGTGAGCTTTTTCAAACACTCAAATTTACTGCCTATATAGCATATATGCATAAATTTAAAATAATTGCCATTTTTTTAGTCCGTGTCTTAATTATAACAATATATTGTTATACCTATGATTGAAAATGAAAACAATTAGTTCATAATGGTTCCAATTATTTTAAGCTAGAAAAAAGAGTAATCTTGAATTTATGCTTATACAAGCACACTTATAATACAAGAAAACTTCAAAATAAGGCACACGAAATACCAATTTTATGCTTTATGGATATCATATCGATACATTTAGTTAAATTTACACTTAAGAAATAATTACAAGATAATAAGAAAGAAAGTAATAAGTATCATTAATCTATTAAGCTATTATTGAAGGCATTATTTCAATGCCTAGTTATAGATGAAAACTCTGTTTCAGTATTTTGTCCTTTTTGGTCCTTTATTTATTTTTCCCCTCACTCTTTGCAATTTTTTCTTTCAAATCCTCCAGTAGCCAGTTATTGGTTATTGCTTCCACTAGTACTTGTTCGGCTATCTTCGCTTGTTCCCGGTGTTTCCTCTTCATCCTCACTTTCCAGATGGAATAATGTTGTTTCTTCGTGGACAGGATTTGATGGTTGTGGTGGACTTTTTTTCTCATTGGAAGTATCTGTTACGCTGTCATTTAATTCAGCAGAGCTGTATAAGTCTACTGCCTTCTTACCCACACTTAATTCTGGTGGGCTTTGTGTTGGTTCACTGCTTTCTATATTGCTTGTAGTGCTGGAGGTGGTTTTAACTCCACCAGTTGGTTTTGCCAAAAGACTAGCTTCTGCATTGTATGGCAAATCGTCATCATATTCATCATGTTCATCGTCACTGTGGCTACCCAATGAAAACTCGTCCAAAAAGTCCAGCTCCTCACCAAGCTCTTCATCGCCGTTGTGACTGGAGATCAAAGGATTGAAATCTTTGTAATTTAGAGCATTCTTGTTTCTCTTGTGACGAAGCCACAAAAGATATCCTGTGATTGCTCCAATAAAAAGTAAAATCAGCAGACCCGATCCATAAACCCAAGCTGCTGTATTTTTTGACATTCCAAACGTCGGAATGAGAGACCCCAAAAAGCTACTAGACTTGTTTTCAGCTTCTTTGGGTTCTCCAGATTCAGTAGGTTGGGCTGACTCATCAATTGCACTTTCAGTCGATGAAGGTGAACCATTGCCTTCCTCAAGTTGAGAAGTTGTTGCAGTGGCAGTCTCATTAAATGATTCAGAATCGGAATTCTGTGTTTCTGACTCAGAAGTAGTGGAAGTAGACGTTGATATAGGAGTAGAAGTAGATTCGTCATCAAATGTGGTGGAGGTCGATAATTCAGTTGAAAGTGATGACGCAACTGAAGAAACCTGAGATGGTGATTCCGAGGATGAGTTTTCAGGCTCAGTGTCTTCAGGCTCAGTGCTTTTCAAGCTACCAAGAGCACTAATCTTTCCGTCAAATTCAACAGCCTTAGATGGGTCAATTGATTCACCCCAAAGTAAAAGTTGCCAATCCAAAAGAGTAGAAACTGCTTTAGTTTTTCCTTTAGGAACATGCTTTGCAGTCAATTTCCACTCACCAACTCCCGATTCACCCCAATGAGCAACAGACATAAAATTCCAGTTACGAACTCCAGCCTTAGAAGGATCCATTCTGCGTTTAGGCATGATATCAGAGGTGATACCACTTGGACTTGTCAAAGATATGGTAAGAGAACCACGGCGAGTAGATTGAGCATTGACTCGTACTTGGATATGCTCCAACTTTCCAAGATTAGACTTCTCCAAGTCTTCTTTGGTAACATTAATAGTGAATTCAATAGCTTTAGTATGATCCACCGGAACTTCAGCATTCTCGTTTTTAGTAGGAAGATGGTACCAAGCCTGGGGATTAACATTTTCCCAAGTTTTAGCTCTTTCGACAATGGCATAAGCATCAAGCTTGCCGTAGCCATAATCATGGTGGAATCGCTTTCCTGCAGGAGTGATTTGCCAGTTGGGATCAGTGCCAAATGGGACAGCGGTGTCCCATGCCAAATATTGCAAGTCTCGCCAAGTTAAATTAGGATTGGCTTGGAGCGCCAAGGAAAATATTCCAGCAGCAATAGGTGCTGCAGCGGAAGTTCCACCATGTGTCGTAGAACAAGCACCATTGACATCAGTCGTATGAATATAATCGCCACTTCCTGAACTATACGTAACAACAAGGTTAGCACTGCAGCTTTCGGAATAAAATGGATGAAGGCCTTTTCTATCAATGGCAGCCACGGTGATAGAGTAAATACTATTTGTATACCCATCAAAGTTACAATTATCATCTAAACTTCCGCCATTACCAGAAGCAAAAACGTAAATATTCCCCTTTTTGTCGCGACCGTTTTGAACAGCGTTTAGGATAGCCTTTTTAACAATTTCAGGAGGTGCCTCCATGGTTTGACCATTATCAGAGGGTCCCCATGAGCAAGAGTAAATATCGTTTTTATCCATAGCAAAATTAATGGCCTTCGCTTCGTCAATAGCAGAAATTCTCTTTGATAAAATCCGAACACCAGCAACCTTGGCCGTATATGCCACACCAACACCACATGCGTCATTTTTCACTGCAGCAATTTCACCAGCACATCTAGTACCGTGACGATCGTCTGATAAACGTGGACGAGGAAGTGGGCCAGGATCATTAAAGTCCCAAGAACCTTCAGCAAAGAAATTATCCTTGAGATCTGGGGTATCAAGGTCAAGACCATCATCAATCACACATATTTTGACACCATCGCCAGTAATATTTTGAGCCCAAACCCCAGTAACGTTGATATGATGTTCTTTTTGAATAGGGTTAACAAGATGCCATTGTTCAGGGAAAATAGGGTCATGAATGTCGAACTGCTCGATTGCTGCTTTGACGATAGGTTCGTTGCTGAGATCAAGGCTTACCGGAACAACACCTCGCTTATAAAGCTGCCGAGGAGGTGGTAAAATTTCAAGAGATCCAACGCCATTGCTGATAAGATGACGCCTTAGTAATTCATGTTCCGGAGAGCGCTTTGTCAATTTCCAAGATGTAAGTTCATGACTGCCGATATCTGAGGGAAGATCGGGTTCAGGGCTGTTTTTGGGAATTGAAAAAAGAAAGTGGTTCGGAACAGCTGTGATAGGATATTCAAAGTTCCAAGAAGAAGGGAAGATGTTCCCTTTTGTAGATTCAAAATGCTCTGATAAGTTTGGAATCGACGAGTAGCTAGAATCTAGTTCGACAGCAAAATATATCCGGTTTTCAAAATCTTCTTGTGATGATTCCGATAAGCTTGTTGACAAAGCTGATGCGGATGAAAAGGTCGAGCTAAAAAAGCCCAAAAGACCCAAGGTAGTTAACTTCATTATCCAGCAATATGAAAAAGATATTTAAATGCGATGCTGGAAAGTGAAGAAAGAACCTAAACGGGAAATAATGGAAGCAAGAAAGAAAAAATGGAAAGGCTTTTTTAAAAAAATATATATAAAAAACCAAAAAAAAAAAAACTGAAAGATAGTCAACGGTAATTGTAAAGAGAAAAGGGAAATAAGAGAGGAGGTCTTTTATTTTTTTTTTTCCACTACCACCCACATAGTTAGCCTTGCTTACGTGTGTGGAATTTGAGTGTGTAATGCCACGGTGTGGTTGTAAAATTACAATTTTACAGATTCAAGTGGCAATTTAACAGTACAGGTTGAATTTGTGAATTTTTTTTTTTTTTTAAAAACTCAGTCTGCTTTCATGACTGTGCACTTTGCTAAAGGTACTCTCATGAAAATTATGCTGGCTAATGCCTGGTTAGTTGATGTTCAAAAAGAGAAATAATGCGTACACTCCAAGAAAATTAAGGCCCCACATCACTAATAGGTTATTCTGATGTCTAAATGAACACGTATAGAGCTAAGATTTTTTTTTTAAAAAAATATTTCAAATACCATATTATAAGGCAACTTCTATGATTCCAAATTTTAAAATACCACCAGCTTCAGTAAATGATTAATAGGTATTTCACTTAACTTACAACACTTGATTTTTGGGAGTTTAAAAACTGGAACTTTAATTTTTATTTCTTCTGAGCTTACCTCGATTATCGATTATTTATCGCCGTTCATGAAAATGTACCATAAAATGGCAGACTTGTTTAAAGGAACATGAACGTGCACTTGTTTTGAAATAAACACTACTTGGAGGAAACCAGACACTTGATTAAATTTTTTCTGGCTTCGTTAACAGATGTTCCACACGAGTCACAATGGTAGATACGATCACTTAGAAACAGGTTATCTTTTACAGTCCTTAAATGGGTGCATATCTTGCTAGTGTACTTACTCTTCACTCACCCTATATAGTTTCGTCTATGTCAATTAGCTCTTGGTTTTTGAATAAAAGGCGCAGGCAATTTTGTAGTGTGAACTTGACTTCAAATTTTTGTTCATTTCCTTGTTTTTGCTAATATATACTAACCAATTGTTGAGTTTCGAATGCCGGCAGTACTGAATACATTGGATTAGGAAAGCCTAGTTAAAGAAGATAGAGAAGTTTAGTCAGAAACTAAAAAAATTTGATTGAAAATGTATATATGAAGAAAAAAACGAGAAACAAAATCCCGTCTAATCCACTCGACTCCGTTAGATCCGTGATGTGGTCAGCCTCCACAATCATTGCCAACCTCAGTGGTATTAGCGTTCTTCCTGCTGGCCCCAACGGCGGCTTGTTATGTGGATTCAGTTGCTGGCACGTCAAACATTGAGCTACAATGGTTCTCACATCCTCCACCATTTTGGGCCATCTGTACGAAACCACCAATATCGTCATAGTGGCCTTCGCCCCAGCATGTCCCCCCCTAGGTGCCGTGTGTGCCAATTTTACCAAAGCTCTGATCGATTCTTTTGCGCCTAGTGGTCTTCTAACTCTCCCCAAATTATCAAGTAGAACCTCAGTTTCTATCCTCCAATCCGTCTCACCAGGCCCCATTTTCCTTTTCTAAACACCCTCATATGATAGGTATCCTGCGTAGCTCCCAATGAGCATATAATATCGCTCCTCTGGGGACCCCAACGCCTTGTTGGCTTCCGCTTGCCACTGGTACTTGATTTCAGAGTCTCTGTAGACTTTCCAGAGCGCATCCCTTTGCCTGTAGCCCTTGGTCGTCATCGCTCCGGCTTTATTTGTAGTCACCGGGATTTTTGTCAGCTAGCCCTCTTCGTCAATCAAGTTTGGGGAAAATCCATCTCGTTGAGTCCACCGTCTCGACAGTAAGTCTGCCTGGGCATTGTCCTCCTCACCGGTGTAGGAAATCGTAAATGAGTATTGAGACAAAAGCTCCAGTCAATTGTACTGCCTGGCGACTGTCCACTTAGTTTCTTTCGGAACTACAAAGTCCTATGATCAGTCCACACCTCAAACTTGTTCCCATATAGGAAACAGCAAAGCTTTTTACAGCCTTCACTACTGCCATGAGCTTCAGATCATACGCCTTGTACCTCGTCTCTAGTCCCGTGTTGCGAAGGCTGTAGTAACCAATGATCTTTCTCCCCACATTTTCCTCTATCTTTAGCACTGTCCGCAGTGCCGTATCAAAATTTTACAAAAATGAACCAACCGAAAGTAACGTCTTCAGCTGTCCAGATTCTTTCTGCGCTTCACCTGACCGCTTAATGCCTCTTTTCATCTGGTAGGAACCATCTTCGGTCTGGGAATTTCTGTCTGCATTCGCATTCGTTTTCGCGGCCTTCAATACCCTCAGTATCGCCTAGGTGACCCCCGCAAATTTCATGACCGATCTCCGGAACCAATTGGCCACTCCCTAAGTGTGCTCTACTTGCTTCATTGTCCTGGGAATGGCCACTCCTTAAATGCGTCGACGTGCTTAGGCAGCCGAAATATCTTGCTTTCACAAATTCTGTACCCGAAGTATTCGAAGTCTGTCACCACGAACTCGCATTTCTTCGGATTTGATCTCAGTCTATATTCCGCTAGCCGCTTCAGCATGCCCCTAACGATTTTCATTTGGCTATGCGCGGGTCTACTGGTGTAAATTACCACATCGTCAATGTATACCAAACAATTGACACTCACAAACCCTTCTAGAATTTGTTGCAAATATCCTTGTCAATATACTGGACTATTCCAGAACCCCATGGGAGCCACATTATAGGTATACACGCCCTTTGGTGTTTTAATCCCAAAGTATTTCTCATCGCCCGGCCTAACTTTCAATTAATGAAAGGCATGTACAACATCAATAACAGTGTATGGAATAGCGCCATGTATTATCCCTATAGTATTTTCACTTGTCATCAAATCTGTAAGTAGTGGTCTAACATGTTTGTTGAACTCGTTCAAGTCTGCAATCATTCGCAGACCACCGTTTTCTTTCCTTGAACACATAACGAGAGACACGTATGGAGTCAGTGGATCCGGTTTCAAAAGTTCTGTTTCTTACACCATCTCATCTAACTGGCTCCCACACTCGTCTCACAGAGACTAGCCTCTCTAGATTAACTAACTCTTCATTGAACTCGTCCTTATCTCCCGGGGTCACATGGAGTATTGCGAACGTGTTTATTCCATCCATTTTCTGTAGCCAGCAAGGGACTCATTGATTGACCAGTTCTTTCATTCATAGTGTGGAAGATCAAAGACTATTTCTTGTGTTCTCGGAGTAAATTAATTTAAGTTTGTCATAATCTGCATTTGTTGAATATAGGTACTAATATTTGATCTTAAGATAAACTTAGCTTCTTAAGTACTATCTTGTTCTGCTGTGTTAATGATCTTGATGGTGGTGATTGTGGTGCTGATACTTCTTGGTATCTAGTTATTGCTACCTGGCTATAACCCTAACCACCTATGTCATGGGGCCCAAAAATACCCCGTGACATGAATCAAAAAAAAAACTTGACAAAAACAGGGTAACTTTCAGGATTTTTCAAAATAAAGATTAAGAATTAATGATGGAAATACCCCCAAAATCTAGTATACACAGAATAAAAAATGGTGAAAGCAGCTACGCCGGAATTTAGAAAGGTTTGTACTGATTTTTAGATAAATCGAATGTATTTATGTTTTGTTGTTAATTGAAATATGTTGTTTTTTTAGTACTTAGACAAGAAAGTTCTTGTCCAGCTTAACGGCTCTCGAAAAATCAAAGGTGTGGTAAGAGGTTACGACCTCTTTCTTAACGTTGTCATCGATGAAGCGGTCGAAGAAAAACAAAATGGTGAAGTTGTTAAAGTTGGTATTGCTGTATGTTACCTATGTGATTGAACGTTTTTATATACGATTGTTTGTTAACGTTTTTATTTTACAGGTAATCAGAGGAAATTCAATTACGTCGATAGAGGTAAGGAGATTAAGTTTGTTATTTGTATACCGACTAACTGAATTATAGGCTCTTGAACGACTATCTTAATATTATTTCTTAATGTTTTTTTTTACTTTTTGGGAGTTATTTTCAATGTTTTTATGGGTTCTTTAATGATTTGATACGACAATGTTATCACTTTTTTTTCATCTTTCTTACAGCAAGGTCTTGAGTGCTTCAACAAGTCACAGTAGGTATATAAAAATTCAATATATTAATCTAAAAACTAAAAATTTTAAAAAGACTTCTTACGATGAAGAAGCTGTTTTTTGAAAAGCTGTCATATCAGCTAGTACCATTCCAGCCACAGCTGCTGATAATAGTGTTGAAATTGCACCTGTGATAAGAGACGAAATAGCCAGCTTTGCAATTTCACCTGTTCTTGTTGGAGCTAGAGCTCCCAAAACTGCAATATTTGTTCCGACTGATCCAAGGTTGGCAAATCCACACAATGCGTAAGTTGCAAGCATTTGCCCACGTGTTGACATGTGTGAATAGGCATCACTTTGGAGCATTGAATACCCAACAAATTCATTTTGAATTAATTTCACACCAATGAGTTTTGCAATCATATAAAGTTCATTTCTGGGTGCACCAAGAAGAAAAGCTACCGGATAAAGGATGTAGCCTAGAATCATTTCCAATGTAAGATTGTTAATATTCCAAAAACCTGCGAACCAAGTTAACAAGGCATTTATCAAAGCAACCAAAGCAATGATACACAATAAATTTGTCATAATTAATCCAGCAATTTTAATACCCAAACTTGCGCCATTTGCAAATGCATGTAGGACGTTATAGGTTTCTTCTTCTTCATCATCTGGGATTACTACTTTGCTGGAGGTGATTGATTCTTCTGTTTCAGGGTATCGAAGTTTTGATGTAGCTAAAGAAGCTGGAATTGACATTACACATGATGATATCAATGCTTGAGGGTTGATACCCATTGAAATATAAGCAACCAATACAGAACCTGCAATTGTTGCAAACCCTGATGTCATTACTTGATGCAATTCGGCTTTAGTTAAATGAGGAATAAAAGGTTTAATCAAAATAGCGGATTCACCTTGCCCAATAAAGGGTGAAGCTGCAGCCACAACTGCTTCCGCACCAGAAACTCTCATAGACCAAAAGAAAAAATAAGCAAATTTTCCAATGGCCCATTGAATCACTCCCCAATAGTAAAAAATGTGGACGAATGCAATGAAAAATATTATTGCAGGCAATACCGAAAAAAAGAAATAGGTATATTGCGAAATTTCAGTCGTTGTTATGAAAGCAACACCATCTCGAGCAAAACTAAGAAGTTTTCGAGCAAGAAATGAAATAAAGTTGAATACATCATAGCCGCATTTGGTTCTCAAAACAAATAAAGCGATAATGAATTGAATTAGCATTCCAGAAATCACTGTGTGCCATTGAATTGCTTTTCTGTTTTTTGAAGTAGCCCATAGAGCAAAAATTGCAACAAGACATCCAAAAAATGATATAGCTCGATCTTTCCGTTTCGATTCAGGGTGTTCGGGTGTTACAAAAGTACCAACTAAAATAACTGCAACAGTTCCAATAGCTGCCGCAAGAGTACGATATTTTTCTGGAATGAAAGATATAAATTTTACTATTGTTCTTTGCCAAATCCAGTTTACCCATATCAATAAATATCGTGTTGGAGTATGAAACGTAATAAGTCGGATAATAATTAATACCCAAAGAATTGTTGGAATCAACCACATATGTCTATGCTTCTTTTGTGCAACTATGGATATCCACCAAGATGTAAAAAATATACCCCAAAACAAATGAGCAACCCAGAGATACCGCCTATAAAGAAGCTTCCATTTATATTGGTTTTTGGTCCGTGATACATCACCATTTTCTATGCTTCCCGTTCCTGAAAGGTTTTCAGGTTTTGACTGCACTTCATAACTAACTTCGTTTTTTTCATTTCCCAAAATGTAGTTTGTTTCTTCTATTGGGGCTACTGGCAGAGAATCTTTTCGAGGGTGAATATGAGCGTTAGCATGAATGTCAGGCTTTTTTTGAGCTGCTTGTGAATGATGGAAATGACCATGAAGATGTTGGTGGTGGGGATCTAATGCTTCATCTTGTATTTCAATTTCTTTGCTTTGAGTAACTTCGGCCATTACAATAGTACTTTTGATTTAAAATCTTGATTGAAATGCAGGTTATATTTAAAGTTATATTTTGTTTTAATAATGTGTAGGTGTTTGAGGAAATAGTTAAGAAGGTGGAATAAGATAAATATTAAAGAAAAAAATATGAATAAAGAATAGGGAAAATAATGTTAGAATATATACAAAAAAATTTGATAAAGGACAAGGAAACGTTAAATTATTAATGCCTTTTAGAGGTAGCTGATTCAGTAGTTTTATGCAAAGCTTTTTTAATGATACTATTGTTATAGTTTGTTATCACTTGATTTATCAAATACTCATTCCCCTTTTAAAACTTTCCAACTTTTTGGTAGTCCAGCTAATATTTAATATTCATGATATTCCAATATTGATAAATTTGTATACGTTTTTTTATCAGGATAACCGGGTATATATTAACCAAATCAACTAAAAACATCATTATTTCAAATAATAATAATATATATATATATAGTCTTTATTCTACTAAGGGAAAAAAAGATTTTCTCTTATCAATAAAACGGTTGTTGATCGTTGAGTACGTAAATATTGACATGGAATTTTTTTTCAGGTAAACTCGCCAATAATACGTCTTTGTTCAGTGCCGTTCAATATTGTTGGTAATAGTTTTTACAGATATTGGACAAGTTTTTCTATGCTTACTTTAAAATTCTACTGCTTAAATAATCTTAAAATGAACTTCAGGCAAAGATAACCGCCTAGTTTGTTCCTACTTTAAGATGATTATTGGTATTAGCCCTGATAATGGAAATTCAAAATAACGGTTGATTTTCTTTTTCAAATTTTATTGTTTCACAAAGTTAAAAAGTGGGAAAGAATCACCGACGAACATAGTCGGCAGCAATTTCATCCATTAAACAATAAATTTATTATGATATCATAGCCCAAAAAACAAAAAATAAACATATGAAAAAAGCGCATACACTTACATCAAAAGCATTCTGGATTCTTTGCCTTATTAATATGCTGGTTCGAACATTTGAAATTTGGTACATATTTTCAAATGGATGTTACATTTTTTTAGCAATTACAGAATCTATTTCTTCCTTGTGTCTACTGTACTGCAAAATAAATATACAAAAATTTAAATATTTCGTAATTATTATGCTAGCTGTGAAGGCTTGCGGATAGGCCTTCTCTTTTATAAAAATAATGATTATTAAAATAATTATAATTATAATAAAAGATAATCATTTGCTGCATTCCTTGTTGTTAACTGATGTCGTCAGATAAGATGCATCTGGGGCCTCCCGTTTCTGGAGTTGTAGTTTGTTGTAGTTGGTTTGGGGCTCTACATCATAGAATTGCCATTGTGTAAGTTTACCAGAGTAAAAAATTGATGAAGTAATACGCTAGCTTTCAGTTAATCTTTTAACTTGAAGACTCCAAATAGCGAATACAAAAATAACAATTAAGAAGTTTAATGATGAGCCGTTTGTTAGTGTCACTTAGGGAACATCAGTTACGTGTTCTTTGTGAAATTACAGCATATAATACTAAAGCAATATCGTTTATAAATATCCATAGATTTTGTTTTAATTTTGTGATTGTGACTAGTTATATGTCTAGATCTTAATTGGAGATGACTCCTCGACAGCCTTGAAAGCAGCTTCCAACTTGGCATGAATCTCTTTGATTTTTGCCTTGCCTTCCTCACTTTCGGGCCAGCCGACAACGAGACCCGAAGTGCTATCGCGCTTAGGGATTAAATGGAAGTGAACATGATCAACCATTTGGTGGGCAATTCTACCGTTGTTTTGCAAAACATTGTAGCCCTCGCCTTCAGGGGATTCAATGGCAAGATCTAAAGCAAGAGCAATGCGCTTAGCAATGGGAAGAATTTCATACAAATGCTCATCAGGAATATTATGAAGCTTAGCACCGTGATACTTAGGGATCACCAAAGCATGTCCAGGAGCGGTGGGACCAATATCCATAAACGCAAGAGTCTTGGAAGTCTCGTAGATTTTAAGAGACGGAATTTCGTCTCAGTCAATGTTAGTTTGTTTCGCAAATCAATTAATTATCCCTTAAAATTTTACAACATACTCTTAATGATCTTGCAGAAAATGCAATTTGCCGACATTGTTAATTAAAATTGAAAGTTTAGTATAGAAACTGGGAAAAAAAATGATAAGCTAGTGATGAAACTCATTTGGTGTGGGGATGAAAACCAATTACTTTTTGGTGATCAAATGTATCGCTGAGTAATCTTTTAAAAATATTTACGTAACTGGTGGCATGCTATTTTTTTTTTTCACCACTAATAAATTTCTCCTCTTTAATCGTGGATAGACTAACGGAGTAAAAAATAAACATTGGTAGACAGAGCTACCAAACAACAAAGTTTTTATTATACTTAAATGACATTATTTCATTGATTAGAAGTATTTGTTATTATATTTTTGGTATTAAATTTCAACAAATTATTTTTGATAATAAGATTGTCAGTTTTAGCTATTGACAAACAGCAATACATTTTGCCACTATCGTTTCATTAAAAATGACGCCAATAGCAGAAGATAATGCAAGAAACCCTCAGTCAGAGGGTTCTTTTAATTCGAATGGTCATTCAAAACCTGAAAGTAAACCAGATGAACTTTTAAATCCAGCTTTTAAAGAGTGGTCTCAGATATACAGCTTTATTGAATACAATCCTGATTCATTTAGTGCATGGGAAGATTTAATAGAAATTTCGGAAAACCTCGAAGGTGGGTTATCCAAGGCTTCAAGTAGCTCTGCGATTAAGCTATTTCGATTTACATTCGACACATTTTTAAACAGATTTCCATTAGCGCAGGGATATTGGATCAAGTTTGCTGAACTTGAGTTCAAGCTTGGGAATACAGAGCAGGCATTAATGATCTACGATAAAGCTGTTAACGTCATTCCACTTAGTGTTGAGCTATGGACTCATTACTGTGCTTTCAAAACCATAGTCACTCCATCGATAAAGCAAGCAAGAGTTTTATTTGAGAAAGCTGCTAACTGTGTTGGGTACCATTACCTATCTCATCCTTTTTGGGACGAATATATCAAGTTTGAAAAATCTAATGGAGACAGCTTAAGACTTTTCAAATTATACTTAAGAATTGTTCAAATTCCTTTGCATCAATATGCAAAATATTTTTATAAGCTATTTCAGCTTGCTCCTAATCTCCCGGTAAAGCATTTGGTGTCAGCAGAATATCTTGAACAATTTAACGCAGAATATGAAATTGAGCAGTTAGAAAAAGAAGAAGAAGAGAGAGAGAAAAAGCTTGAACCTCAGTCTGAAGCTAACCCCAACCTTAGTAGCGAGTCAAAAAGCATTGTTACAAAGCGACAACTGGAAGAAAAAAAGAAGGTTATCGAAGCCGATTTACGTCACAGAATTTACAATTATTACTCGCGTTTATATATCCAAACACAAAAAAAGGTTAACGAAAGATTTCAATATGAATCAGAAATCCAACGTCAGTTCTTTCATGTGTTATATCTCCCTGAAGAAGAAATCCAAAACTGGCGGCGATATTTGCAGTTTATGGAAACAGAAAACGCTGGAAACAATAGGCTGATTAATAACGAAAGCATGAATGAGCTTGTTGCTCTATATGAAAGATCGATAATTCCTTTTGGTCATTACGAAGAATTCTGGTTACGGTACACCAAATTTCTTGTTGCCAATAATAAGATTGACGAGGCACGCAATGTTTATCGACGTGCAAGCTTTGTTCTTCCTATTGGGCGAATTCAAGTCCGCTTACAATATGCTTTATTTGAAGAATCTTATGGAAATATTGACATTGCTAAGAATATTTTCTTGAGCTTGTTGGATGCTTTACCATTTAGTACAGAACTTATTGTTGGATATGCTAATTTACTCCATCGTTCAGAATGTGCTGAAAATGCTATATCATATTTGGAACAAAAACTAGAGCATTTCAAGTTGAAGTTGATACAATTAAACGGACAGTCTAAGATTATTAGTGAAGACAAAGAAGGTGGTAATTTAAATGAAATATCTTCACAAGATACAAAAATAGATGCGGATATTCCAGCTCTGGTTACTGTGATTGCAAACTCTTATCTGGAATGGCTCGGTTCCGTTTCTAAGGCTCGTCAAATTTTCCAACAGTTTGCTCAAGAGCTTTCCTCGTCATATTACTTTTGGAGAGAATATCTACGGTTTGAAATCGGTATCGCTGAAGACGTTGATATTGACTATGATACCTCTAAAAATGCTGACAGCCATGGCCAAAAAGACGAAGAGTCCATTTTCCTGAAAAATGTTTACGATCAAATTAAAATCGCAGCACTAGAGCCTAACCAAAGAAAAGACTTGGCTCACATATACATGGTATTTTTACTGAGCCAAGGAAATGTCACATCAGGAGCTACACAAAAGTATTTTGAGATAGATAAGGATGCTTACCTATAAAAATAACAAGTGTAAGATATATTTATATTTTTTCTTATTTTTGGATTGATAGAATAAAATGTAAGTATTAAAAATTAGAATGCTACTATAATTGATAACAGTAAACTATGTATCAACTAAATTTGTTTAGGCTGTTTGATATCTAGTACAGTCTTGATTCTAGTGTTCAAAAACAGTAACTTCTATAATAACGTTGATAACTGTTGAAACGATCCAAAATGATACTGAGATAATACCAATGACTCGACTCATTTTCCATTTATTTAAGGGAATTGTAATGAGTAAAAATAAAAGTGTCACAAGTAATGTGATCCCAGAAATAATCAAACTGTTTGATATTTTAATATGATATCCATCAGGTGAAATGGCACCAATGTGACTATAGGACTTTCCGGACATGATAATTAACCCTGACATGCCGATGCCAACTAAAATATTTAGCATAGGGCCGCCAAAGCAAGCTGAAAGAGCCATCATAGGGAAGCCCATTTTAGCAACTGTGGTATTTGCTACCAAATCACCAAGTGAGTTACCAACAGCAAAAACTGTGAGACCAAGAACTGCATCAGAAATATGAAACATAATACCCATTGCCTTTAAGATACCAACAACCTCATTGGCAACAACTGAGATCCAAGAAATAGCAATAACAAATCCAATCAATGAAACAAATTGAATGTATGTTGGAGCACTTCTTGGATCAGGAACAAACATCCGAATCATAATCAATAATGTTGCGCATGATAGTATCGAATACATAATTGTAGAAGGCCAGGAAGAATCATCATCCATATTTGATATTAAAACGAAAAAAGGACCGAATATTGCTTGAAGTACTAAAAGCCAACGTTTGATTGGAACATAGATTTTAGGTGATTGGGGCACTTGTAGTCCAAACTGATCATTGTTAGATGAAAATAGATCGTCATTTGATGTTCCATCTTCAAAAATTTGATGGTTATGTGTATTTTCGTTATCATGATAAGGTGCACGACTATCAAAATAAGAATCCAGATTATAACTAGGCTCTTGGTGTGTTTGTTCTCTTATAGGAGAATTAGGAATAGTTGATAGGGATGCTTCTTTTTCAATTGTCTCGGCCTCAATAACGGGAATCGTCACGTTCAAGCACAGTATTGTGGGAGCAGTTGCAATAGAAGTAATGATACTAATCAATGATTTGGTAGTCAATCCTACCAATGAGGGGAAAAGCGTTGAAAAATAAGATGTGTATCGCTTCGGTATTGAAGGTACGACATAATTAAACCAGCTTGTGCTAAAATGCGAAGAAGGTGGAATTAGGTCATGCGGCGCTGTAGAAGTGGTTCTTGACAACTCATCAGTTTCGTCTGTTTCAATGATATTTGGAGTCGAAGGTCTCGAGCTTTCCCTAGAGCGTATGATTGGGATTCCAAGATTGGATTTTTTACTAATTGGTGAAATAATAGAGTTCAAATCATGATTCGAGACTTCGGGTATGTTTATTTCAGTGGGAGATAAAATGACTGTAGGACTATCTTCTGAATGATAATCTGATACTAAAAGCTGAGGGATTTGAAGCTTTGGTAGTATGGGTTTCACAGAGCTTGGGGAAGACTCAGAACTCTGTGGTGAAAAAATGACAGGTGTAGAAGAAAGAGGGCTGCTCCCTCTTGATGTTGTAGGTAGACTAGAAGTTGAGGAATTCTGTGTTCTTAGTCTGTGAAGTTGTGTTGGCAATGTTAAATTCTTTTTTATAGCTGGGCGCTGTTCATGGTAATTTGGGCTCAGGGGACTTAGAGGACTTTGGTCTGCTGCAGCCCTTGATGCCAAATACGATTCTGTATTTGGAAGAGATTGTGATAATCCCTGTTCTTGGTCATTATATTGATCACTTTCCTGTGACCTTCTCAACAAGGGGATAATATTGGAATGTGAGCTGCGAGAATCCTCCAATTGCTGTAGAACATTTCGAAATTCTAGAGCACCATATAAAGATGGTCTGATTGGTGTCATGGGGGAGTGTGAACCAAGGATATGCAAATCAGTTCCTGCTGTCGCTGCAGACATAGCTGCCGAGACAGCAGCAACACTTTGGGATGAGGTAGTGGGGGGAAGATTTTGTGGTCGTAATCTCATACCTCTTGTAAGTTCACCATATGCCTCTTCTTGCTCATCTTCAAATTGTTCTTGCCAGGCAGGGAGGGGTGATCCAGGAAGTGCAATTATACTTCCTCTGGGTGAAGCAAACCTAAAAGGACTTGGTTGGCGCTCTTCTTCTTCTCCAAAACTGGAGGAATTAAATCCCGTGTAATCTAATCCCTGTGTTAAAATTGATGCTTCGTCTCTAATTTCTTCATCTTGTTCAATATTTGCTTCATGTCCCGCCTCAGTGTAAAAATCACGGGCTCTTGTTTCGACCAAATACCGTTTTCTTCTAGTTGTATTGTACCAGTGCCATCCTACGACAAAGATAACGTAAGAGACATAAATGGATAGCATAGCAACGCATTCTAAGCGAGTTATAACACCGTCAGATATGAAGTAGATAGAAAATCCAACAGCAACAGTAAAGAAAACAATATCTCGTGTAAAGGACTTTCTGGCTACTTTAAATGGACGAATTATTGCCATTGACCCAGCCACAACTGCGGTGATAAAGGAAGCGGCGCCAATAAGCTCGCCAATGGCTAGTGATCCAGATCCAATTTTCATAGCTGCATATGTACTGAATACATCAGGTGAACCATTTCCAAATGCAAGAAAAGTAACACCTGCAAGTGATTCTGAAAGGCCGAGCATTTTAGAAATGGTGTTTAAATTAGGACATAAATAATCTGATGCAGCAATACCGATTGACATGAATAAAATGGCAAGCCAGAGAGAAAAGACAACAACCAAGATTGCAGAAACGGACCATGAATGAGAGCAATAATAAATTTCCAAGTAGTTGAAAAATCCGAGATGTTCCTCTTTGCAGTACTTCTTAACAAATATGCATTTGTCTGTGAAATGAACGATTTCTGAGCATTCATGATGGCTTGAATCGCTTCCATCAGGGCTTTTTTCATTTTCTTCAGACTCGGTTTGTTCTAAAGAGGTGTCTAAGTGGCGCTGCTGAGATACGTTGTAATATGAGTTGCTGTCGAAAATCACGTCAGAAACTTGTGAAGGTTTAGCGTTGCGATTATGTTTGTCTGGGGTAAATAAGCCTATTAAAGGGCTGTCTTGTATTAAGCCATTATTGTTTGTTGTAGGTAACGCGTGAACATTTGGAAGTTTTAAATATGCTGATAAAAACAAAACTGTTAATATTAACGGGTTCATATTGATTTATTATGAGGTTCGTGATTTATGGGTCAAATAAAAGTGTTGATGAAGAGTTAATCAAAATGTTTTCAGACTAAAGGAATTTAAAAAAAAAATAACCTCTTTAAAAAAGTAAGAGTAACTAAAAAAATAAGGAAAATAGGAAAATGAAAACAAAGAAATTTTGGATCTATCAAAAACAAAAAATATAATGAAATGAATCAGTGATTCAAATGTTCATCTGTGGCGAAATAAGATAATGATGATAATGTCTGAAGTGAGCAAAAAAAAAAAGGAGGCAGTGCGTATTAATTTAAACGTAATTTTGTTTGACATTTTCCTTTTTGGGAAGGTCATTGATGGATCTGATAAATACGACCAAGAAAGCCTTGAACACAAACCAAGCATTCTATACCATATGCATCGAAAAAACGCCAAAGGTTTTTGTTTGATTTGATTGAAACGGACTATCAAATTTCTTATGTAAATTCCAACTATTATTCCTACTTTTACTTTGAATATCATTTTTGTGGTATATTTACTCCGTTAAAAATGATGCGCGACGCGTAGACTAAAAAATTGCTTATTTTCTTCTGGTTCTGTAGCCAACACACACTAAAAAAATTTTAACCCACCACCACTTTTGATAACCGCTTTTCAATTTATACCACTTAGTCTTTATATCTCGAGAAATAATGACAGAAAAATTAGAAGCACAGCTCAAAAACATTTTGTCCGACGGCATTCCTATTACGAGAGTTTCTCAAGGGGCAGAAGCGATTGTTTTTCGCACAAATGTTCATCCTTATCTCAATAGTTTTTTGACTAATGAACCAGATCGGTTAGAAAGTTCGCGTTTACCTCCTCATGCACACTCTTTCATTATCAAATATCGTCCACCAAAAGCTTACCGCCACCCTACACTAGACAAGACACTGACAAAGCATCGGACACTTGCTGAAGCCAGACTGCTTCAAAAGCTTTCTGCAGCTGGAATTAATGTTCCTGGTATAATTCATGTGGACTTTCGACAAGGTATCATTTGGATGGAGGATATTATCGGGCCATCAACAGCAAAGTCGACGGATATTAAGGACGAAATGCGCGGTTCGCTAAAAAACTGGATTTGGGATTATGAAAAAGAACATGGTGAAACATCGATTTCCGCAGATACCGAAGGCAACCCGCAAAACAAGTACATCAAGACTCTGATTGTCCGTGTTGGCCAAGAGATTGGTAAACTCCATATGACAGATACCGTTCATGGCGATTTAACTACGTCAAACATTTTATTAAGACCTAATACTGTTCCATTAACGCAAAATGTAGAAACAGCGCCAAAAAAACAAAAGGCAGATAATGATTTAGAGCTGGAGCCCGTACTTATTGATTTTGGCTTGGGAAGTTACTCGACTTTGGCAGAGGATAAGGCTGTGGATTTATACGTTTTAGAGCGTGCTGTAGGAAGTACGCACCCAGTCAATAGCGAGCTTTATAGCAGCTGGCTTTTGGACGGCTATGTATCTTATTGCCAATCCGATAAAAAAGGATCTGGACCTGCCAAAATTAAGGAGGTTCTCAGAAAACTACAAGATGTCAGACTTCGTGGACGCAAAAGAAGTATGGTTGGTTAATTAGGATGGTTTTTTGGATAATAATAGATATTCATTAAGATTCATGTATTCGTAAAAGGTCATTAAAAGCAACTAATCTGAGCAGTGTTTTTGTTTCATTGGGGGCTCTGTGGAGTGCTTCCAGAAGAAATTTCAACCTTCCCAAACATTTTGTCTATCTCGTTAACTTGGTTCAAAGTTGCTCTCTCCGGCTCGGGTGTGCTCTTTGTTTCTACCTTGACAGGTTGCAGTATTCTGTTTGTTGAATCGAGATACCCTGGAGCAATTTTACGTTTTTCTCTCAAGTCTTGCTGAACTACATCATTTATCCACTGTTCATAATGTTGTTTTCTTTGAATGTGCTGGTTTTCAACAAATTCTGCAAATTGTTGCGAATCCGTGGAAATGTAGTCAACTGCTTCGGAAGTGACTGCTGATGCTGGGAGGGCTGATGGTAGTTTGTTAAAGTTAAAGGGTAAAGTGACCGCCTTTGGAGGATGCAAAAAAGGAGAAATGATTAAAGGGATTTGAGAAAGAATCGGATGAGCTAATAGACGCGTTAGAGGTTCCCAAATACTAGTACACTAGACATACCTTTATGATTGTCCATTGTCGAAGATGTGATGATGTATGTTAGTGATTCAGAGGGTGCAGTTGTGTCCGTTCAAGATGAGAGTGATTGAGTTTAGTATTAAGAAATTAGTCATCATTAGTAATTGTGTTATCATGCTGTGTTGTATGTGTTGTATGTGTTGCTTCCTTTGCAGCAGCCTAAGGGAAGAGAAAAAAAAAAAACAGACACAAAAAAAGGTGAGTGGCTGCCTACAGGTGCTGCTTTACCCATTGACAGAAAAACTCAACACCAAACATTTTCAAAGGCTTCCAGGCCAAAAAGTAAGTTTCAAGGATTCCTTCGTTCATCTGAGTCTTGTCGCCATATTATCAACAGTAATTTTATTGTTTTTTTAATAATAAGTCTTTTAATCAGCAAGATATTGCCCTGACAAACCGTCTTTTTCAGTATTTCCATAGAGACAGCATTATTGTATTCAAAACGCCTTGCTAGACCTTTTCATCATCTCTTTTTATGCTCTACTCAGCTTCCATGCAACAGAATTTTCGCTCTTGGTCTTGTCAATTTATTTAAATATCGTTATAAATCTCTTTTTTTCCTTCTTTTCAACAGATTTGTCGTTAGAATAACCGCTCATTTTTACCAGAAATATTAATACTTGCAGTCGCGTCTCCCTCTCGACTTCTCTATTGTTCATTGTCCACCTCCCGGAACTAAACCTCTTTATCTTCAAGACTCTACCTTTTTTATAATTGTTCTTTTAAATTCTCGGATCTTGTTCAATTCTAATTTCTAACTTTTCCCAGCCAATTTTTCTTCTCGCCCATAATGTCATATACTTCCGTCACTGCTTTAGCTACAACTGGTGCCCTCCTTGTCGGTGGCTGTAAGTAAAAAGTTTTTCATTACAAAAAGAACCTATTCAGATTTTTCATTCTAGTCATTTTTGATTATGAATTAGTTTGGTTCTGATGATTTCTTTTGATTCTATTTTTTTTTCTTAGTACTAACTTATCCTTAGACCTATTATTCACTGGTAATGGTGAAACCTTCAACTTTGGAGAATTCCTTTCCACAACCTCACCATACGCATGGTCCGTTATTGGCATTGCCCTGTGTATCGGTTTAAGTGTCATTGGTGCTGCCTGGTAAGAGTTTTTTTTTTTTTTTGAACATTTGTGAATCGGCATTATGCTAACGTTCAATTTAGGGGTATTTTCATTACTGGTTCAAGTATTATCGGTGCTGGTGTTAAGGCACCCCGCATCACCACCAAGAACTTGATTAGTATTATTTTTTGCGAAGTTGTTGCCATTTACGGTTTGATTATGGCCATTGTCTTTTCTTCTAAGCTCACAGTTGTTTCTGGCCAGTTAATTTTCACAAAGGAGAATGTGTACACTGGTTTTTCGCTATTCTGGGCCGGTATTACTGTTGGTGCTGCCAACCTTATTTGCGGTGTCTGCGTCGGTGTTACTGGTGCTACTGCTGCCATTTCCGATGCTGCCGATTCATCTCTCTTTGTCAAGATTTTGGTTATTGAGATTTTCGGCTCCGTTTTGGGTCTGTTTGGCCTTATTGTCGGCTTGCTCATGGCTGGCAAGGCTCCCGACTTCCACTGATAAATAACATACAAACTGAGTAATAATAAGAAATAATAATAAACTAATAACATTAACTGAAAGTCATTTCTGCGACCTGGAAACCATTTCTTTTTTAGGGATCTTGATAGTTTAATTGAGAAGTCGGAATAGCAGGTATGTTTTAACATACAATCAGCTTTTGTCTTCTGTAAATATATAAAATTTTTGTTGAATTGTTAATTAAATTAAAGTAAACCTTTTTAATATAGGTTGTCCAACTCAATCACTCTCGATGTAAATTTCGTTTAAAAGGTTTGATCAAAGATTAATGCTTTGAAAAAAAAAAAAAAAAGTAACGCTTAAAAAATGCTAAAAAATATGAACTCATTGTCTGAATTTTTTATAAAACTCCTTAAAATAAGACGTTTTATGATCAAAAATACCTAATATTAACAACTTTTGATAGTTCTTTAACAATTTATTTCTAATTTGTGTTTTTTTTTTTTTCAAATATCTAAAATGGCCAACGTTAAAGAGATGTTCATTTTTTTCTTGAGCCCTCGACAACGTTTCCGCCGCATGTGCAAAGATTTTTTTGATGACTAAGCTATGCGAAATTTTTTTATTTTTTTTTTTTTAATCTTGAAAAAAAAAAATTTGGCTGTTAATTTTTTTAAAGGTGTTTGTTTAGAAGAAAACATCTTTAATATTAAAAGTCATATTGACATCATACGGAAAGTACGAAACAATGGTCAGCTTAAAAGATGCATTAAAGTCGTTGAAAACGCCAAAGCCAGTTGGTAAGTTCATATTTGAATAAATTATTTTTTTTGTTCCTCTTTTTTGACTGAGCTTTATACTAACTTCTTATAAAAAGACTTTGATCCGGAAGACTTTGAGCGACAAAACCCAGACAGTGACGTTGGTTCTGATAACGAAACCGAGTTTGACCAAAAGCAACGTGAAGCAGAAAAGAAACTTGCCCGTGCCCATTATGTTGAAGTCGGGAAGAGTAAGCTTCGAAGCAAAAACGATGCTGCTGTTGAACTGAATGGAAATCGATACAATGGTGCAAGAGTTTCAAGAAAGGACCTATACAAAAATAAAGACAGTGAAGACGATGATGATGAAGGAGAGAGTGAGGATGGAAGCGAGGATAGTGAAGGTGAAGAAAGTGATGAGAGCAAAGAAGAAGAAGAAGAAGAGGGAGATGATGATGACGATGAAAACGATGAAGAGGGAGATGATGATGACGATGACGATGACGATGACGATGACGACGACAATGATGATGATGATGATGATGATGATGATGATGATCAAGATAATGAAGAAGATGAAGAAGAAGAGTATTCAAAAAAGACTACTCAAATTGGCGAAAAGAAGCGATCTCAGCTTAAAGAGCTTCTCAAGAATGAGCAACAGTAAGTACGCGTCAAGTTCATGTTTGATTTATTTTAACATATTTTTTAGAAAACTTGTTTCGCAGATTTCCAAAACAGCTAAGGACGAGGCTCAAAAGGGAGAAGGAATCAAGAACCAAATTGTAAGTAAAACCATTGACATTTTCAAGTACAAAACTAACTTTTTTTTTCTATTAGAAAATTTACGAAACCATTCTCGACTCACGCATCAAGATCCAAAAGGGTCTGGTGGCTGTCAACTCACTACCACTTACACAAACAGCAACCAAAAAGTATTCTTCAAAATCAACACCTAAACTTTTGGAACAAGTCACCAATAATCTCTACAGTCTTCTTGACAGAATTGCGGAGCTTCGCAAGCAAATGATGGTCAAGGATAGCATAATACCCGAAGATAATGAGTCTGAAGTTGAGGTTAAACCCGGTAAACGAAGTCTGGAAGTTGCTTTCGGAAACGAGCAACTTCTTGCCAAGCGTCTGAAGCCATACAGTGATGCAGTGCTGACCAAGTGGTCAAAGAAGGTGCAGGCTGCGTCGGGTGTTTCTGCACTGAATGCATCCAAGTTTTCTATCAAAAATACCAATGCGCAGTTGCAGGTTGCTTCGCATCTCGCAGACATGGACAGATTGATTAACCGAACTAGAATTAACAGATCTCAAATTAAAATTCTTGGAGAAGGCGAAGAAAATGTGGAAGAAAAGGAAGAGAATGAAGAAGAGGAAGAAGAAGAAGAACTGGATGAGAAAGCCAAGATCAAAAAGAGAATTGAAGAGCAAAAGCGTCAAAAGAAGCTAAAACAGCAGCAGATTCAGTCTCAAAAGAAGAAGCAAAAGGAGGACGAATCTGATGTTGTAACAAGTACTGATCTGGAGCTCAAAGAGCGGGAAGAAATCTACGACGACATGGACTTTTACCGTGCACTTTTAAAAGATCTTGTTGACCGACGCATGGCTGACTCGAGTGTTGCTTCAAGCGTCAAATGGACCATTACCAAGTCGAACAGTCATGATAAGGAAAAGAAGAATGAGGACAAGTTTTCCAAAGATCGCAAGCTCAAGTTCAATGTGCAGGAGAAGCTGCAGAACTTTGATGCACCGCGCAACACGATTCAGTGGAGCGATGAGCAGATTGACGAATTGTTTTCCGGACTGTTTGGACAAAAGATTGAGGTTAGTGAGAACGAGGCCGAGGAAGAGAGCGAGGCTGAGGAAGCTGAGGACGATTACATTGTCAACGATGGACTTAAGATTTTTGGTTAGATAAAAGAAAGAATAATAAATAATATCATTCACTATCACTTGTGTAAGGAACAAGCTGAACTTTTTGGGGGAGTTTCTTGCGGACAATTTCGTTTGGGAGTTTTTGTTTGCGAGGTTTAAAGAAAGATGTAACGAAAGGGTCTGTAGCCATGTCGACTTGAATGGCAAGGTTTTGTAGAGCTTGTGATTTAAAAGTAGTTGATTTTTTTTGTAGTGAAGATGACATGAGTTGGTCTTTGCGATTTAGATCAATACCGCTACCATAGGAGTTTAGCTGGGCGATGCGCACATCTTCTAAAGATTCTGATGCTGGCGTCAGAAACAAAGAGTGTTTATCCTTTAGAGATTGGTTTTCACGGTCAACTTTTTCAATTGCATGTTTTTCGCGACGAAACTTTTCACGCAGCCTTTTAGACGCAGCATAAGAGTCGCGCCATTGTCGTTTGTTGCGCTCATAAAGTATCCTGATGCGTTCTTCCTGAGAAGCTCGGGAATTCGTAGCACCCCCATTACGCTCAAGAGCAGCAAATCCGTCGCCGGAAGATTTTTGTGAAAGCAGTTTATTGTTACTCAGCAGTCCGCTGTATCTGACTGCATTTGCTGAGGAAGGTCCTGCGACTTCGGTGGTAGTTGTTGAAGATTGAGGGAATCGTTCGGTAGCACCCGAAACAGCACGGTAGCAAGCATTTTGAGGGTCAGTTCTGATTTCAATAGAAGACTTGCATTTTGGGCAAAGAAACTTGAAGGACCAGATTGGAGTCGAAAAGTAAGAGCCGGTCTTTTGTTTTTCGGCATTAAAGCGGGTACCTTGGGCTATGGAAACATGGCAGTGGGAGCAGGAAATGTCCATAGGGGATTCGAAACGGACAGTGAGAATGCCCATAGATATTTTGCGGGCTCGTGAGCCCAGAGCATGAGGTTTTCCAGCGAGACTATTGAGAGACCTGCGACCATCGTAGTGGGGAGGAATATACCTGTTGAAGCCTTTAGGGAATGGTTAGATATTGAAATGGATGGAGTTATTGATTAATTGTGCACTTACCTTGCATTGTGTAGAGAGTGGGTGGTAAACTGCAATTGCAAGGTTTGCCACCTTTTTTTTTTTTTTTTTTTTTTTTTGAACACCTTTATTTTCTGTTTGGCCTTGTTTTTTTTTTTTTTTTTCCCTTACCACCATTTAACACTACCACCACCACCACCACTACCAACAACAACCACCATTGCCACCCATTAATTTAATTGCCACTGAAAACAACCATTCACAAAAAAATACAGAAAAATGCCACCAAAAGCCGATTGGGAGAAATACAAAGCGCCTACTGAGGACGATGAGACCGAGAAGAAGGACATTATTCCATTGTCAGAAGGCGACATTCAGGTTCTGAAGTCGTATGGTGCAGCCCCTTACGGGAGCGCGTTGAAGGCGATTGAGAAGGATTTGAAAGACATTCAGGCACGAATAAACGAGAAGATTGGAATCAAAGAGTCTGATACGGGACTTGCGCCACCACATCAGTGGGATCTGGCGGCAGACAAGCAGAACATGGAGCAGGAGCAGCCACTGCAGGTTGCTCGATGCACGAAGATCATTCCAGCGGAGGACGAGACGAAGCGGACAAAATATGTCATCAACATTAAGCAAATAGCCAAGTTTGGTAAGTTATGATTTTATGAAAGAAGGTGAAAGTTGAGAACTAACAAAGAATAGTTGTGAGTCTTGGTGATCGCGTGAGTCCTACTGATATTGAAGAAGGCATGCGAGTTGGTGTTGAGCGTAACAAATACCAGATTATGCTTCCTCTTCCCCCGCGAATTGACCCGTCTGTGACGATGATGACTGTGGAGGAGAAGCCAGACGTTACTTATAGCGATATTGGTGGATGCAAGGAGCAGATTGAGAAGCTGCGTGAGGTTGTAGAGCTGCCGCTGCTGTCACCGGAGCGCTTTGTTAACCTAGGTATTGACCCTCCCAAGGGTATTTTACTTTATGGTCCTCCTGGTACCGGTAAGACTCTTTGTGCGCGTGCTGTTGCCAATCGTACAGATGCGACATTTATTCGTGTAATTGGCTCTGAGCTTGTGCAAAAGTACGTTGGTGAGGGTGCACGCATGGTGCGTGAGCTATTTGAGATGGCACGAACCAAGAAAGCGACAATTATTTTCTTTGATGAAGTTGATGCAATTGGTGGAGCTAGATTTGATGACGGAGCTGGTGGAGACAATGAGGTTCAGCGAACCATGTTGGAGCTTATTACCCAGTTAGACGGGTTTGATCCCCGAGGAAATATCAAGGTGATGTTTGCGACAAACAGACCCAACACGCTGGATCCTGCTCTGCTGCGGCCTGGAAGAATTGACCGTAAGGTTGAGTTTAGTTTGCCCGATGTTGAGGGCCGAGCCAACATTTTGCGTATTCACGCCAAGAGCATGTCTGTTGATCGGGATATTAGATGGGAGCTGATTTCGCGATTGTGCCCCAATAGTACAGGTGCCGAACTGCGTTCGGTGTGCACAGAGGCTGGTATGTTTGCGATTCGTGCCCGCCGCAAGGTTGCTAGTGAGAAAGACTTTTTGGCAGCTGTTGAGAAAGTCATTAAGGGGAATCTTAAGTTTAGCAGTACATCTCGCTACATGCAATATAACTAAAGGGAAAGATGAAGATAAAGATAAAGAAGATTATAGTATAATAAAATTATATTTGTCATTAGTCATTAGAAGTCTATATTTTGTGTTTTATTTTTTGTTTTTTTATTACGCCGCATGGGGTAATGATTTTTTTTTTTTTTTTTTTTAATCCCACCAAGAAACTAAACCCATACCATCAGCTTGACATGACCCGATTATTGAGTATGGAGGATGGATAACTTCCTGGTTAGCAGGGTCTTCAGACATTTGAAGAGAAGAAGGTTTACGGGGTTGTTGTTGGGTAAAGATTTCTTGTTCGACTCTGAATCTGATTTTTTCATTTGTATCAATGTAGTAATCGTACTCTCCGTTTTTCCAAACCCAGGCTTGTTCTCTTGGGACGCTAAAATAAAAAAAAAAAAAAAAAAAAGAGAAAGAGAGAGAGATAGTTAGAAATTGAAGAGAGAAAATAAAGTAAAATTTAAAGGATTAAAAAGAATGAAAGAAAGTTGACTTACAATTGGCACGTTTCGAATAGTAGGTCTTTTGGAATGTGTATATCGTCAAAGAACTCCATTTTGACTTTGTAATAAAAAAAAAAAGTTAGTATAAGTTTGATAACTGGAGAAAAAAAAAAAAAAAAAAAAAAACTTACTATTGATACCTTCTTCTGTACAAGAAGAGACCCATCCAACAAGGATTTCGCCTACAAATGGTCTAAAGACTATTATTCTGAAAGTGCCTAAAAAAAAAAAGAGTTAGAAAAGAAGAAAGAGAAAGAGAGAGAGAGAGAGAGAAAAGACCTACACTTTATGAAGACACCGCCATCACCATTTTTTGTCATGCCATCGTTAAAGTCTTCGATATCATAGAGACAAATACATAGTCCGACGTTATGGATAACCTAGGAGTGGTATGTGTTAGTTTTTTTTTTTTTTTTTCATATTTTGTGACATGTATATAATAAATATTGTTACTAACTCTGTTTGCAAATTTTTTATTGATTTCGTCCTCGAGACCCTCAGCAAGTGGGGTGTTAAAATTTAAAGGATCCAGTCTAATAAGATCTGAGATTTTTGTGAGCACAAACATTGGGTATTATATTTATGATTTTATTATTTGTATGTGATGGTTATATATATGGATGGGTTAAAGGGCAGGCTGATTTTATTTGTGTGATGTAGTTTTTTTTTTTTTTTCATTCATGGGAGGTTTTGCAAAAGAAAAAAAAAAAAAAAAAAAATTTGAAATAGGAAATAAATGTTAAGTATAAGTAATAAGTGCTAAGTAATAGGTTTTAATTAAAATGTGTCTAACTAACACACACTCCTGAATACAAGGTCACGGGACTTTTGGTGAAAAGAAAAACAATCAAGATAAGGCATGCTTAAGCCATAGAAATGAAAATTATCAATATGAACTAAAAAGTATCAATAATTAATAGATTTACAATATTAAAAATGGGTTCTTATATATATATGACTCTAATATAAAAACTAGCTTTAAAAAACAAATAAGAATTGATATCTTAATATAGTTGAAATATCAGCTAAATATCTGATTTAAACTTGCATTTATTTTCCTAGAGAGAATCCTTGGTTGTAAAATATACAGACGCTGTAAAAATCATTTTATTTTATTTTAAATTTTAATAAAAAAAAATATTCTTTGCTGTAATACTCATTTTAATAATGATATTCAAATTAGTTTCGAAAATAATAAATTTTGTCTTGAGAAGTCTCTTCTTGATATCTTGATTGCATTCAAAAAATTTTGAATTTCCTCTTTAGTCAGAAACCTTCATAATAGACATCCATCCAAAACCACGGTTTTTTTTTCCTTTCCCTTAAAAACTGTGAGATAATATCTCATATAAAAGACTACATATGAGTCTATACGTGCTATTTTTTTTTTTTTTTTTTTGAAAACATAACATTGCAATTAATAAATAGATTGCAATTATAAAAAGTTTGGATAAGATTTTAAATGATTTACTATTTTTTTTGTGCACCATTTAATAACATTGTCCCAAAACTAAAACTGAATCACAAAACATAAATTTCAATTTTCAACTTTCAACTTTCAACTTTCAAGTTTTTTTTTTTTTTTTTTTTTTTTTTTTTTTTTCAAAAATACTTTTAAAAGGATGAGATATTAAATCATTTATTTTTTAAAGAGAAATCTAAATTAAATATGAAGATGTTGGATATTTGCTATTATTGACAAAAAAAAAGGTTATATTTCTTTGTTGGTGCATTCGAGATAATCATTAGGGGGTTTAAAGAAATAATATAATGAATTGAAATATTAAAGGTTGTTTTTGGGTATTATCTCCATCAATGTTATTATCTTACTATAAATATTCTTCGCTGTTCAGTCTATAACCACTAATCAAAGTAAATTCTATTTTTGTTTTTATTTCTGTATTAATAATACCCATTTGTAAATAGTAAGTGAAATTGTTCTAAAATAAAAAAAAGATGTTTTTTTTTCTTTTTTCCAAAAACATTGAGATAAATTTACTCAAGTCAAAGAAACTAAAAAAAAAAGGGTATTTGTGTTGAAAATCTGGGTAATTTTTGTAAAGGAAATATGTTTTTTTTTTAGTCAGAAAATATAAAGCATTTTCTTAATATCTGATATTGGGAAATTGAATAATTATACCATTAATATGGTAATTATTAAACCAAGAATCATTTTTCAGAGTATTTGTAGAAATAACAGATTTGGGGGGAAAAAACAGTCAGAGGTTATGCAATATTAATTGATATGTAGTTGGAAGGAATAGTGTGACTAAGGTTTTTTTTTTTTTTTTTAAAAATCTTTCTAATTTGAAAAAAAAAAAATAAATAAATAAAATAAAATAAAATAAAAGAAATAAATAGATAATCCAAATTTAAATTTAAAATTTAATTCATAAAAAAGAAAACCAAGTGTTAAAGGGATGTTTGATTGTTGGTAAGGCATTTTGGAAACTATGTAGTGGTTTGACTGGGGGGAGGGGGGTTTCAATCAACTTTTGTTTTTAGCAATTGGTATTACCAAATGTATTACAAATAATTGAGAGGTAGCTTAACATAATAATAATAATTATAAAAACATAGTTTGTTTAACTTGGTTTGGTTAGGGCTTGACTAGTTTCAAAAGTTATAATAACAATAGATTTCAAAGGGTGATATATATAGGGGGTTTGTTAGATTGTTTTACGGGGTTAGATAGTTTACCTTAAATATGCGATTGAGGTGTTAGACTTTTGAAGATACAATTACTAAAGTAAGCTTTAAGTATCAATCATTTGTATTATTTGATATTGATCGTTCTTTTTTTTTTTTTTTATATATAAATTTATATATTTTTTCTGGTCTGGTCTATTGACTTTAACTTGTAAAATAAATGCTGCTTCAAAAATAAAATAAAAAAAAAATTGAATCAGATTAGATTTCGTGTTTGTAAGTCTATAATTAATATAAGTAATAAGTACTAAGTACTAAGTGATATATATAAGTAATTACCTTTCTAGTCCTTTTTAAAAAAAATTTCTCTCTCTACTGGCATCTCCGCTTATCCAGTCACGATAAATTCCAGGAACCGTTTATCCGGCGGTGTTTTTTTTGTTATTTATTAATTAGTCAGTAAAGATCTTATGAGAGTTAAATCGTTTGAGTATAATATTTGTATATATATATATATATATATATACCTCTTGGTATTATTCCTATTCCTCCCGCATTACCCGGCTGCATGGACCCGGTTTAAAAGTGAGTGTTTTGTGGTAGAGCGCCGCATAGCCGCGGCTGGCAACCTTTTTTTTTTTTTTGGGGGGGGGGGGAGTATTTTTTTAAGTTGAGTGCCCAGTAAATAGTAATTGCAAGTTGTTGATTGGACAATTGAAAATAAATTGAAAATAAAATAAAATAAAATAAAAATAAAATAAAAATAAAGTAAAAAAAAATAGCGCTTACATCAGCATTTCGTGGGATTATCATTTTTACTATTATATTATTATGGCAGACTGTCATAGTAATAATATAAAATTAAATACCCCAGCTTAAAATGTGGCCAATGAGAATCTACGCGTTACGAAACCTTCAAGTGTCCGCCACTCATGCGGGGGAAAGGCTGAGAAAGTGGGATGTTAGATTTAGTAGGAGCATTATTAAGTTCTTCCAAGTAAAAAAAAAAAAAAGAGCGCGGGGCCGACATCTGAATTGATGATGATTATGATTATGATAATAACAATAACAATAATGGTAATATTAATAGTAATATTAATATTAATAGTAATGATGATGATGATGATTATGATAATGTTGTAGTTAGTTTTTTTTTTTACTACTGATGTTGTTTGGCTGTTTTATGTCAGACCAGAATCGCGAGTTTAACATTTTCAACAATTTGATTTGATTTGATTTGATTTGATTTGAATTTAAGTTAAGTTAAGTTAAGTTAAGTTAAGTTAAATTAATTTATATATTAGTATATATTTTTTTTAGCTTTGTGAAGGGAAATTAGATAGCTGAGGGCTCTTTTGTTAGTAATAAATAAATAAATTAATAAATAAATTAATAAATAAATTAATATAAAAATTAATTCAAAGTCAATCAGTCAGTTTAGTAGATTTTCAGTTAGACAAGTTGTTAAGGCTGTCAATTAAAAAAAAAAAAAAAAAAATATAAGCGGGAAATACAAATCGTAGCAGTGGGTAGACAAACAAAAAAAATACACACACACACACACACAGCCAAATTTTTTTTTTTTTTAATTGACCAGCCAAATATTTATTTATTTAATTCCCTTTCACCCAACCAAACCTTTTTTTTTTTTTTCTTCTTTTTTTTTTCTTTCTTTCTTTCTTTCTTTTTTTTTTTTTTTTTTTTTTTTTTTGATTTTATTTGTTTTAAAACCCATCCATCTTCTTCTTAATCCCATTCATCATACACACACATTAAAAATGCTGAGCGCTTTGAAACGTTCTTGTCTGGTATGAAATTCCATTTCTCTTTTTTAATCCTCTCCTTCATTCAAACTCTAGCTAACCTCAACTTTTTCTTTTTACCCCTCCTCTACAGCAAAAGCAGTCTATCTCCGCTACCAGAGCGTTCCACGTCTCTAGAACCCTCGGATCCGTCATCTCCCAGGACCACGTCAAGGCTACTGAGGCCTCCAAGCACATCTCCAACAAGTACGCCGTCATTGACCACGAGTACGATGCCGTCGTTGTCGGTGCAGGTGGTGCTGGTCTCCGCGCTGCCTTTGGTCTCGCCCATGCTGGCTTCAACACTGCTTGTATCTCAAAGCTTTTCCCCACCCGTTCCCACACTGTCGCTGCCCAAGGTGGTATCAATGCAGCCCTCGGTAACATGCACAAGGACGACTGGCACTGGCACATGTACGATACCGTCAAGGGTTCCGATTGGCTCGGTGACCAAGATGCCATCCACTACATGACCCGTGAGGCTCCTCAATCTATCATTGAGCTCGAGCACTACGGTGTTCCCTTCTCCCGTACCGAAGAAGGCCGTATCTACCAGCGTGCATTTGGTGGTCAATCCAAGGACTATGGCCATGGTGGCCAGGCATACCGTACCTGCGCTGTCGCTGACAGAACTGGCCACGCTATGCTCCACTCTCTTTACGGTCAGTCCCTTAGACACAATACCAACTTCTTCATTGAGTTCTTTGCCCTCGACCTCCTCATGCAGGACGGCAAGTGTGTCGGTGTCATGGCCTACAACCAGGAAGATGGTACCATCCACCGTTTCCGCGCCAAGAACACCGTCGTCGCTACCGGTGGTTACGGCCGTGCTTACTTCTCCTGTACTTCTGCCCACACCTGTACCGGTGACGGTATGGCCATGGTCACCCGTGCTGGTCTCCCCCTCCAGGATCTTGAATTTGTTCAGTTCCACCCTACTGGTATCTACGGTTCTGGCTGTCTCATTACTGAGGGCTCCCGTGGTGAGGGTGGTTTCCTCCTTAACTCCAAGGGTGAGCGTTTCATGGAGAGATATGCTCCCACCGCTAAGGATCTCGCCTCCAGAGATGTCGTTTCCCGTTCCATGACTATGGAAATTCGTGACGGCCGTGGTGTCGGTCCTGAGCACGACCACATTTACCTCCAGCTTTCCCATCTCCCTGCCTCGGTTCTTCACGAGCGTCTCCCCGGTATCTCTGAGACTGCTGCCATTTTCGCCGGTGTTGATGTGACCAAGGAGCCCATTCCTGTTATCCCCACCGTCCACTACAATATGGGTGGTATCCCCACTAAGTACACTGGTGAGGTCCTGACCCAGGACAAGGATGGCAATGAGAAGATTGTCCCTGGTCTTTACGCCTGTGGTGAATCTGCCTGTGTTTCCGTCCACGGTGCTAACCGTCTCGGTGCCAACTCTCTTCTTGATCTGGTTGTCTTTGGTCGTGGTGTTGCTCTCGACATTGCCTCCAAGTTCACTCCTGGCCAGGCCCACGAGCCTTCCTCTGAGGACATTGGTAAGGAGTCGATTGAGAACCTTGACAAGTGCAGAACTGCCACTGGTCCTAAGCCCACTGCCGAGATCAGACTTGCCATGCAGAAGGTCATGCAACAGGATGTCTCTGTCTTCCGTATGCAATCTTCTCTTGAGGATGGTGTCCGCCGTATCACTGAGGTTGCCGGTACCTTTAAGGATGTCGGCACCAGTGACCGTTCTATGATTTGGAACTCTGATCTCATTGAGACTCTTGAACTCCAGAACCTTCTTACTTGCGCTATGCAGACTGCTTACTCTGCTGTTGCCCGTACTGAGTCTAGAGGTGCCCACGCCCGTGAGGACTACCCTGACCGTAACGATAAGGAGTGGATGAAGCACACTCTCTCGTGGCAGGATCACTTCTCTGAGCCCGTCCACCTTTCTTACAGAGACGTCATTTACCACACTCTGGATGCTAATGAGTGCAAGTCTGTTCCCCCAGCCAAGCGTGTTTACTAAACAAGTTTTTTCTGGGCGTGAAGAGACATGATTATGATTATGATGATGTTTATGATTAAAGAAAGTATATACGTGCAGGAGAGCAATGAATGAATTGTGTGTTTTAACTATTAATGAAAAAAATAAAAAAAAAAGAAATAAATATAACAAATATATAACAAATATACAATATAATTTACTAAAAAAAATATCAAAATCCTTATTTTATAATCTTTAAAGAACTACTATCAATCAAAATTGATTAATTGATAAATTGATTGATAAATTGATTGAAAATTTTCACTTAATCCGAGTCGGAGACATATTGTGGTGTAGCCGTGATAGTAGACGAGTGGGCAACGCCAGTTGTAGCCGCTGCTGCTGCTGTTGTTGTTGTAGTTGTAGTTGTTGTAATTGTAGGCGAGTCATTATTGTTGTTGGTGGTGGTTGACGCTGTAGAACCCCGCGAATTGTAATTGTACGCACCGTATTGGTCACTCACATTTGGTCTTCCTCCTTCTTCCCCCCCTCGGCCATAGTCATTTCCTCCTCTACCACCTCTACCACCTCTACCACTTCCACGACCATTATTATTCCATCGGCCCGACGACCGTCCATCACGGGACCTATTATTATTGTTATTATTGTTATTATTGTAATTATTATTGTTGTAGTTATTGTTATTGTAATTATTGTTGTAGTTACTGTTGTAGTTGCCGCGGCCACCATAATGACTTTCTTGAGTCCGTGGAACTTTGTCTAACAACCGGATCCAACTAGGAATCCCAATTAGCGCACAAAACCGGTCAGTCTGAGGGTTATCCACAATCGCAGTGCGGTCGGCTCCCTGTATCGCTGGCGAGTTCGGGTCTCCGAGTTCTGGGCGGAACCAAGGGTGTGGCTTAATTGTTTGTTGAGGCGATTTAGGGGATTTAGGGGATTTCAGGGATTTAGAAGATCCAGGAGATTTAGGAGATTTAGGAGATTTCGGAGATTTAGGAGATTTAGGAGATTTAGGAGATTTAGGAGACTTTGAACCTTCAACACTACCACCACCGTTTCTACCAAAAAAGTACTCGTAGGTCGGGATCGTAAGAAACCCAAGAGCCGTCACGTGCTCTGCAACCCACTCGACCGCACTTTCGAGTTCCGACTTCGTTTCCTCACCACTATTGCCCAAGGTTGTTGTTGTTATCGGTGTCATATCCAAGTCGCCAGTCAATGTGTCGTATTCTAATGGCCGTGACCGTGGCTGTGGTTGTGACGGCAACACTTCTGCCTCAGGGACTGAGGGAATCGGTACGTATGGAGCAGTGGCTCGAGTAATTGCAAGCCATGCTGGGTCGTAACTTAGAAGCGACTTGTAGCGTACGGGTACCACGAATTGATCATAGTTGTTTGTTTCTTCTTTTGGTGTATCGAGAGACTGGTCACCCGATGAGTTTGTATCATCATTTGGAGTTGTTATTGGTGTTATTGTTGCTGTTGTAGTAGGATCTGTAGAGGTAGTTGTAACAGGAGACGACTCAAGAACAGACTTGTCATCCAGCTTTTGCTTTTTGCGTAAAGAGTCTGAAGGTGAAGACGAGCGTGACCGAGAAGAATGAATGGAACTTGTCGTAGAGTCAGGAACTATGATGGGGATATGCTGTAGGAAATGACGCCGTGGAAGACACTTGTCTAAGGCCACAAAGTGTGTTTTTTCAGGCTCCAAATCTTCTTTTTCGGAATCACTTTTTAATTCTTCTTTTGGTTCTTTCGAGTCCTCCTTTGAACTCTCTTCTTTTGTATCCTTCTGAATATCTTCTTTTGGCTCTTCTTCATTGTCGTCAAAATCAAAGTCCAACACAATTTCATCTTGATTCTTCACTACTATTTTGGATACTTCCTTTTCATGTTGATCTTCCTTCCCATGCTCAACTGTAGCTTGAAACCCTACATGCAAATGCGCAGAAACCCACGTCTTTGGCTTTAACTTTTTTAATAATCGCATCCCAGCAGGTGACCCCAATTCCCCAGCTGCAACATCTTTTTGGAAAAATGGTTTCCGCCTTAGTAACCCACGTACATCTCCATGTTGCTCAACACCAGCAGGCCAGTCATGCGACATAAATACATCAATTGCACTCTGAGCTTCCACTAGCTTTTCTGCACTTACCGAATACACATTGGCTGTAGATGCAGCAACCTGTGGGCTTGCCAATAGTCCTAGTCGAGCAATGTCAAAGTTCCTCACATGATAGACACTTCGTAAATCGCGTGGTGAAAATGGAACTCTTTCTGTGTATCCTCGCGTGTAATCACGCTCGTCATAAATCCCAGAAACCCCAGCTATGCGCACCGCATTTTTATAAATAATACTGCCTGCGCGGCCCAGGTAATATATGTTTGGCGCGACCCAACCGCCATGGGGTAATTCCTGTAGGTAATTAGAAGCTTCATGATTGCCACCGACAAACACAGTAAGCATAGGTGCTACTAGTTCACCACGGAAATATGAAGCAAAGGAACCACGGGCTGCTTCACGTTTATACTTTTCAGGAACGGCAAGGCAGTTGAGATCACTGGGTGTACGTAAAGCCTGGAAATCGCCGCCAATTAGGAGCAGATCCACGCGGTCGGCAGGGTGTTGTGTTTTGGCAAGACGTTGGACTGCAGAGTAAATTGCTGAGAGATTGCCGTGGCAGCAACCTTCGAAATAAACGTGTAGAATGGCCATCTGACGTTATTGATTGGACTGTTTGATGGAATTGGACGAGTTTGCTATGAATTTTTTTTTAATTTATTTAAGCTTATTAAAGACGGGTAATGTTGGGAAGACCTGTTGTCAGGTTTTTTTTTTATTTTTTTATTTTTAAAAGGGCAGCCGCACACACAGCCAATAAGAAGATCAGAACGTGAAAAAAAGTCAATTGAAAAAAAAAAAAAAAAAAAAATCCAAATTCCGTTAAGAAGAAATCATCAAAAAATCTGTACATTTTTATTGCTATATAGAAGAAACTCTTACGATATGCTTAGAACTTAAAGACTTGGTCCTTGGAGAAGCCAAGATCCTTGAGAGCACCCTCGACCTCACCCTGATCAGTGGGGGAAACCTTAGGGCCAGAAATAGCCTTGGAGAAGGGGGGAGGACCGCAGACAAAAACCTTGACATTGTCGGCAGAAGAAGCAAACAAGTTCTTCTCAAGGTACTCCTTGGTGATGTAACCAGTCTCACCCTTCCACGAGTCGCTGGCCTTGTCGACAAAGAAGTGGAACTTGAACTGTTCAGGGTTCTTGGCAGCAACCTCCTCGAGCTCCTTCTTGAGGATAATGTCATTATCAGTAACGTTACCGTAGAACAAGTGGACCTTGGTCTTGTCAGCAGGGTCCTTGTCAATGGCATGGATGAGCTGGTAAAGAGGGGTGATACCAGAGCCACCACCAATGAGGCCAACCTCGGCGTGCTTGTTAGCGGTCCAGGGGTACTTGGGAATGGGGCCCTGGAAGGCAACAGTATCGCCATTCTTGAGGGCGAAAATGTGGTTGCCAAACTTGCCAGTCTCGTAGCGCTTAATCACGAGCTTGAAAGTGCCAATGTCATCGAGATCGTTGACAGGAGTGTAAGGGCGGATGACATTGTTACCCTTGGCTGTAACGTACTTGGCAAGAAGAGCAGAGGTAGGGGTAAGGCCGAGCTTCTCGCCAGCAGGAAGCTCAAAAGTGAATTCTCTAGTCTAAAATTTTAGTTAATATAAAAAAAAGAAGAAAAAAAAAAGGGGTATTTCTTTGGGTGGAATACTAACATTGCTGGTAAGTTCCTCAGAGCCAATGAGCTTAAGGTCAACCCACTGCTTGTCACCCTTGAGGGTGCTTTCAGCAGCAACAGGACGGGATGAGTAATAGAAGTAAGAGCCGATAGCGAGGCTAGCACCAAAGATGGCGGGGCCCCAAGCAGAGGACTTAAGGGGAGCAGAGGCCTTAGCAGAGGCGGCAAATTGGCGGATTGCAGTAGGGAAAACCATTTTTAAAAAGAAGGGAAGGAGGGTATTTTAAATCAATTGAGGAAAATTGAAAATTGAGAATAGAGAGAGAGAAAAAAAAAAAAAAAATTGAGGATTGAAGAGTGTGTGGGAGAAAAAATAAAATCGTAATGGTGGGTGGTGGGAAATTCTGTTGGTATTTATATGAATGTGATTTTCGGAGGCCCGTGGTTAGGGGAATTTTTTATTTATTTATTTATTTATTTATTTATTTAATTATTTAATTATTTAATTATTTAATTATTTAAAGAGACAAGACAGAATTATTGCAAACAAATGGCGTAATTTGAGTGCACAAACTGGCAACAATCATCATCATCATCATCATCATCATCAGTAACAACAACAACAACAATTTTTGTAGGATATTTGCAGGTAAAACTTGTAATGATTTCTAATAATTTAAGACAATGATCTTCTTCTTCTTCTTCTTTTGTACCGGCAGTAGCTACTTTAAACGAAGGTTTTTTTTTACCAATCGGCAATAGAACTTTTTTTTTTTTCATTTTATTTTCATTTTAAATGTAAAAAAAAAAAAAAATGCCTCTTTGACAGGTGTAGTTAATTAGTTTGTTAGTTTATTTGAATGGGATTTGTCAAGCTTACAAAACAACTTTCCCTCCACCAAAAAATAAAAATAAAAATAAAAATAAAAATACAATTAACCTCCCATAAATAAATAATAAATGACATTTCTTAAAAGTAAAAAAAAAAAAAAAAAAAAAAAAGAAAGACAATTGTGATTATAGAATTGAATTGAATTGAATTGAAATTTTATTAAAAAATAATAAAGGTTTTACGAAAAAAAAAAAAAAAAACAAGTTCAATGTAAATTTAAATCTTTTCAAACACTTTCCTTCTATATATATAATATATATAAGATCTGAATAACTATTGTACCAAACACTTTTCTCTGTTCTTTATATAAAACACCTCACTCCACTTTTTTTTTTTTTTTTTTTTACTTTCTTTCTTCTTCACCATCACAATGAACAAACACCTCCTCCACAGATTATCTCCTGCACAAATCCTCGGCCTCACTCGTAACTTGATCCCTCCTCTTAGTGACTCTTTCTACAAGGGCCAGGCAGGACGTATTGTAGTTGTGGGTGGCTGCGAAGATTACACTGGTGCACCATACTTTGCAGCCCTAGCAAGCACACTACTTGGAGCAGATATGTCTCACATTATCTGTGAACGCAATGCCGCAACTGCAATTAAATCTTACTCTCCTAACCTTATGGTCCATCCATATCTTTTCGACTCTGCCTCCCAGAAACAATATGCAGCCTATGGTGTCCCCACTGACCAGGAATCTGTCATCCAAAAAGTTCTCTCAGTAATTGATCGAGTCCATGTAGTAGTTGTGGGACCTGGCCTTGGAAGAGATAAGGTTCTTTTGGAAACAACTGCTCGCATCATCCAAGAAGTCATCAAACGTTCAAAGCCAATTGTCATTGATGCAGACGGCCTCTTCCTTATCCAACAAAACCCTGACCTTATCAAAGGCTACCAAAATGCTATTCTTACCCCCAACGTCATTGAACTCCAAAGACTTCGTGATGCAGTTGATCTTCCACCTTACATTGCCAAAGATAATGTTGACCACATTCTCGAACTTCAAAAATTGTCTGAGCTCTACGGAGATATTACAATCCTTGAAAAGGGTAAGTCTGATTTCATTTCAAACGCAACAACAACCGTCGAAAACCCAACAGTTGGTGGTCTTAAGAGAGTATCTGGCCAAGGTGATACTCTATCAGGTACAATTTCTACTTTCCTTGCTTGGAAGGTTGCCTTTGAATCTGAAGGTCTTTGGCCACACAAGCAACAACTTACAATCACCAACCAAGGTGTGCCTATCCCATTGACCTCCAAGGACCTGTTTTTGCTGGCTGCCTTTGGTGCCTCCGCAATCACCCGCTTATCCTCTCACAAGGCCTTCAAGGCCCACGGCCGTGCCCTTGTTACCTCCCAAATCAGTGACTTTATCGGCGAGTCATTCCATGAGCTTTTTGAGACAGGCGACAAGCCTAACCCAAATGTTTCCTTGTGACAAAACGAAGGACATCCAGCCGTACTATTTAAAATGTAATATCTAATTATGTAATTGAAAAAAAAAAAAAAAAAAAAAAAAACAGTGTCTCACCTTTACTCACCGCTCATTTTGGTGGGCCTTTTTTTTTTTTTTTTTTTTGTTTATTTTGTAATCTCCTTGTATTTCCTTTCCTAGAATACCATCCTGTGGAACTCGCTCTTCCATCTAAATCCCATTACACTCCACTCCACTCCATTCCATTCCATCCCACATTCATATGCTTTCTCTTGTGCGCAGGCGACCCCTTCAGCTGGCGGTATGCCTGGCAAGGAATAGCACTTCCCGCTGCATCCAGTCTAATTCGCGTGCACGGAAACCCCCCAAGATCGAGGTTCTGACGTTGGAACAACTCGACTATGACGAAAATGGAAAGAAAATTGAGGTCCCCAGATCAATGCAAATGATCCCCCTTGACCCGGGAGAATCCTTACCTATTTTACCTGAAGAGTTCCCACCACTTGCAGGAAATGCACCAAGAAATCTATTGGAACAAATCCGTAGAGCAATTGACTCTCATCCAGGATCTGTCGTTCTGACACAAGTTGGAAGTTTTTATGAGGTAATATACCACCACTTTTAACCCCTCCATCTAATCCAAACTAACCAACAGCTCGCAGCTTTATTTTGAACAAGCAGAAGAATTTGGGCCTAAAATGGGTCTTCGTATTGCCAAAAAGAAAGTGGGCTCTCGTTCAAACCCTTATACATACCCCATGTCTGGATTCCCTTTATACCAACTAGGTAAGTACCTCCGTGTGCTTGTCCAAGAACTCCAGATCCCAGTCGCAATTTATGACCAGTGTGATAAGAGTCTCCCAGAAGATATGCTTGTCACCCGCTCCGGTCCTAAATTTAATCGTGAACTCACACGGTTTGTTACCCCTGGGACCCTTCTCGATGAGTCGTTTATGGATTGGCGATCAAATAACTACCTACTATCCGTTGTACTCCCAGAACCATCAAAAGATGGAACTATACCAGATGATGCAACAATTGGACTTGCATGGGTCAACCTTGGCATTGGATCATTTTATGTCGAGTCAACAACAGCTTCTAACCTGGCATCTTTACTGGCGCGAATCCAGCCCAGCGAGGTGCTTGTCGATAAGTCTATATTCCCAGAGGAAGCCCCAGCAGAAACTCTTTCTAAACTTAACCAAGAATTTTCTGGCATTGAAAACTTTTACGTGCGTGCAGTTACTTTTAATCTACGGAACCAGCTGAGTTTTTGCGCTGAGGTCTTCAACAAGGATCTGGACACCATGTCTCAAATTTTGCATTCTATGACCCCTCCAGAACGCCATGCCATTGTCGTTATTTTGAAATACATTAAGAAAAATCTCCCCAAATACCCATTTAGTTTACAACTCCCGGAGCGCAAGAAATCCAACTCGATTATGAAAATCGATATGCGCTCTAGGCACGCGCTTGAACTGCTTAAGCCAATCCGCGATGGCTATGCCAGAACAGGCACATTATTTTCTTCTATTAAGAAAACCGTTTCAGACTCAGGAACACGGCTACTAACCGAGTGGATCAAGGAACCGTCACTGGAACTTGACGAAATTAATAAACGCCATGAGGTTGTTGAAGAGCTCTTGATCAATAGGCACTTTCTAGACCGATTACGCGACTATATTCAATCAACAGAAGACCCTGCACGTGTTATTCAAAAGTTTGGGCTTGGTAAGGGCACGATACTTGATCTCTACACGCTTGCACAAGACTTGGAAGTATTCCATACAATTAGAAAGGAAATAAAAGCAGCCAAACATCTTCCACGGAGGAAATCTCAGCTCAAGGAAATGATGTCAACTTTTGTTTCATGCAACGACATTACCAAGGCTATTTTAGGAGATATTCATGAATCAGTTCTCCAAGAAAGCGAAGCACAAGAATCTTCAGAAGATTTGGATGAAGGGTTGGACCCGGAAACCGCACTTAAACGTGCAGCATCCATGGAAACCACATTAACTCCACCAAAGTCTCGAACAGCCAATGATGTTGACGACTGGGTCATCAAACAAACTGCTTCCAGGAAACTCAAGAAATTGCACAAGGAACTAGAACAGGCAAAAACCAAGGTTGGTGTGCTAGAAATGTACTTTAAAGAGCGGTACCAGGACCGTGGGCTGACGCCTATTCTTAAATGGAACACAACCATTGGGTATCATGTTAGTTTACAGGGGAAAATAACTGAGGTCAGCATACATCCGGACGATTTGGTCCATGTTCATACGCGCAACAAAACCTCGGCTACAATGCATAGTGCCGAGTGGTTAGAGCTGGGGACTAAGACAGATGAGATTCGCATGGAGATTCGACAGGAAGAAAGGGCGATTATGAATGCGCTTAAAAAGAAGGTAAGAAGAAGAAGAAGAAAAAAAAAAAGAAGAAAAAAAAAAGAAGAAAAAAAAAAGAAGAAAAAAAAAAGAAGAAAAAAAAAAGAAGAAAAAAGTATATGGATTAGATGTGAATTTAACAAAAAAAAATAGGTTTTGGAGAAAAAACGCGATTTGATTGCAAACTGCTACTTGATTGACAGGTTAGATGTGCTTTCTGGGTTTGCCATTTTGGCTGCAGACCGTCAATTGGTTCGACCCAAGATGAATGAAGGGTATGTTTAAACTGGGTTATGATATTATAAATTTCAATTTTTCTTTTTTTTTTTTTTTTTTTTTTTTTGCTAACTTGAAAGGACCGTCACCAATATTGACCAGGGCAGACACCTTTTTGTCGAACAAGGTCTGTTAAATAAAAATAAGTCTTTTACACCTAACGGATGCACTCTTGGAGCGCCTCAATTCCCCAGTACTTGGCTCATCACTGGGCCCAACATGGGTGGGAAAAGTACATTTCTCCGCCAAGTGGCATTAATTTCTGTACTTGCTCAACTTGGTAGCTTTGTTCCAGCTGCACATGCGGAACTTGGGATTGTAGACCAAATATTTTGTCGGGTCGGAGCTGGAGATAGTTTGTTTAATGGTGAAAGTACATTTATGGTTGAGATGAAAGAGACCATCAACATTTTGAGTAACGCAACCCCACGATCACTTGCAGTGTTGGATGAGGTTGGTCGTGGAACTAGTAGTCGTGACGGTGTATCAATTGCATTTGCTACACTTGTTCATCTTTCAAAGATTAACCGATGTCGTACATTATTTGCGACCCATTTTGGTCCCGAACTTTATGCGTTACTTTCGCAAAGGAAGAAGAAGGGGGAGGAGGAGGAGGAGGAGGGTTCTGGAGGAATGGTGATGTTACAAGAAAATGATATTGGGTACTATTGTACACAGATTTTAATTCCGGATTTACCGCAACTTGAAAATGCAACAGAACAACAGGAAAACGACAGATTTTATAATGAAGGTGTTGTTTTTAATCATTCCTTAATCAAGGGAGTTTGTGACGATTCACATGGACTTCGAATCGCTGTTTTAGCAAGTAAGTAAAAAATTTTTTTTTTTCCCCTCCCATTTTGAGAAATGAAGATGAAAAAAAAAATACAAAATCTAACTCAATCGGTTTTTTTTTTTTTTTTTTTTTTTAGAAATCCCACGCAAAGCATTTGATTACGCGCGCTATGCTTTAAACAAACTTCCTAAAGAAACCATTAAGATAGATATACGTGATGATGAATAGCTAATATATTTAAAATGCATTGAATGGTTGACAGATAAGATAGAAAAAAAGAGAGAGAGAGAGAGAGATATTACTTGCTCTATTTTAAATAAAATTGATTTCTTCTTATTATTCATTTCTTTTTTTTTTAGACTTGTGTTTTTAATAATAATTCAAATACTTAAGCCTTGGAGAAAATCTTCTCAACGTCAGCAATAGCCTGCTTAAGGACCTTGGCCTGGAAAGCAGCATCAGAGACCTGGGAGTTGACCTTGTCAATGACAGACTTGGCAAGAGCCTCCTGCTCTTTCTTGCGGACCTGAGCCTCGTATCTGACCCAAGAGTCAAGAACAGACTTGGCCTCGTGAGCAAAGGCAACCTTCTGCTTAAGCTCAAAAGCCTTGGCCTCAAGCTCAACAGTCTCCTTGGAGGCCTGGAAGAGGTTCTCAGTGATGGCAACAACGTCCTTGACCTGGGAGACGCTCTCGATTCTCTCCTTGACGGCGAGAGTGTGGGTGTCACGAGCAGCGTTGAGGACGTTCTTGACATTCTCAATGTAGCCCTCAGCCCATTCCTTGTAAGCGGGAGCAACAGTCTTGGAGATGACATAGAGCAAGACACCAAAGACGGAGACAATGCAGGTCTCGGCATTGACAACGTAGAGGCCGTTGGAGATGGTGTAAACACCGGCGGCGGTGAGGGTGGCGAGGAAACCGGTCTTGGAAACAAGGCTGTTACCAGGGAGAGCGGAGAGGATGGAAGAGGCCTTAGCCTTGGGGTCAGCCTCGGAAGAGTAGAGACGACGAAGGGCGATACTGGAAATAAAAATGGCGTCAAGGAAGCAGCATTGCAATTTCAATAAAGGGTCAAGTCAAAAGATGATAATGATGTAATGAAAAGGAAAAGGAAAAAAAAAAAAAGGGGGCGATCCAATTATGATCCACAGCGATTGAGTTAGATGTGAGTTGAATTTGAATTTATTTGATAAATAATTGTTATCAAAAAGTGTTGTTTGTATGTATATATAAATATTGGTGTAGATGAGAAAAAATAATAATTTAAAAAATTTTTGGGTTGTGCTGGAAATTTCAAGTTTTGGTGTATGGAGGAGTTTTATTGGATAAATTCTGTGCAACATCAAAAAAAAAAAAAAAAAAAAAAAACGCTGTGGAATCATAAAAAAAAGTCGTAAAGGTTTACGCCAGATACAAGTTTTTCTTAAACATATTATTATTATCATTATCATCATTATCATCAATTGAAAGGGCCATTTATTAAAAGAGCAAAAGAGATACGCCATAAATGTTAGTATTATGTTAAATTTGAAGAATAAAAAAAAAAAAAAAACAAAGACTTTTAACACATACGGAGCAGCACCGACGACAGGACGGGCAAGGACAGGGCGGCTGGCGAGAGCTATATGCTAAGAGTTAGAAAATATTATAATTTATTAAAAAAAACAATTGAAAAAAAAGCATAATGAGAAGAAGTTAACATACCCAGCGATCGGGAGGCGACGCGGAGACTCATTGTGGGGAGGAGGATGGGCTTAAAGGGAGGGATGATGAAGATGAAGATGAAGAAGGTGGTGGTGTTAAAGAGAGGGAGGGATTAATAGAGGAGGGAAAAAAAAAAAAAAAAAAAAAAAAAAGTTGTTTAGTGTGTGTGTGTGTAGTGGCAGAGAGGAAAGGGTTTTTTTTTTTGGTGTTGGTGTTAGTGTTGGCGGTGGTGACAGGCTGGTTGGCTGGTTGGCAGGCTGGCGGGCTGGTTGGGTGTTTTTTATTTTATTAATTATTATTTTAAGTATTAATTTAATTTAATTTAATTTAATTTTAATAATTTAATTTTAATAATTTAATTTAATTTTAATAATTTAATTTTTTTATTTATTTTTATTAATTAATTTTTTTTTTTTTGGAGGGAAAAAAATTTGGTTGGGCGAGGAAAGAGACATAAACAAAACAGACCAATACGGAGGTTTTGGTGTTCAGCCAATCAAATGTAGTATATGAAACCACACTGGGAATGGTGGTGGTGAAAAGATAAATAGTGTAACAACTATTATTAAAATGTAATATATTAATAAATGATTAATAAGTATTAGATAAATTCACATGATACCAACGTGACCTTTTATACGGCTGTGTTTTTTCACTTTTTTTTAAATTTTTTTTTTTTTTTTTTTTTCAACACACTAAAACGATCTTCTTCAGATTTTTAATTTTTTTTTTTTTTTTTTTTTTTTTTTTTTTTTTTGATCTCTTGTAAATCACCATCACCACAATGGCCAAAAGAAAACAAAGCTCATCAATAAAGACTAAAACTAAGACAAATATTTCTGCTCCTGCAGTTAAAAAGTCTAAAAAGTCTACCACAGTTGCTGTGGCCACTGTAACTGCTGATCAACAACAACAACAACATTCTTCTCAAAAACTAACCATCGAAGATGTTTTTGAAAAAGAAGAAGCCATTTTGGAATCAGCTAAAAACTATAACCAACTTGTACCTCTTTTGCAAGCCCTTAAAAATGAAATCAAGTCTGACAAAGAAAAAAATACTAATAATAATGATAACGAAGACCAAGAAGATGATGAGGGAGAAGAAGAAGACCTTGTCATTGCTCTCATCACATGCCTTTTTAAAATCTTTGGCAAACTTTTGAAAAAAAACCAACTGCGTTCATTTCCAACCATGACCCCTGCTCAACAAAAGGTCACCGAGTGGCTTGGAGAACGTTATGATACTTTTAAAAACCTTTTATTCACTACCATCAAAACAAGTACAAACGATACCCTACAGGCTCTAGCAGTGCAAATCATTTTCCGACTTGCCAAGGTTGAAAACGCCCATTACTCTCTTGATGAGATTTACTTTCCTAAACCTTTATTGGTTGGGCTTTTCGAGGCAGTGTTATTTGCAAATGATACAGCCCACGTTGACGTGGCCATTGAAGAACTTACAGACAAATACCTGATAGAATATGACGACATACGCTACTACTTTATGAGTCTTGTCGATGGTCTCTTAGTAGACTTGCTTGTGGATCAAAAGAAGCTTCAAGATAACTCTGATCCGGAATTTAAGTCCTTGGCTGCCATTGCATCTGTCCGACTTTTCGACATTTTGTCCAAACTATCTGCCATTTTCCCTGACTCTGATGACCAGGTCAATAGCTTTTATCTTGAAGTCCCCAAAAAATATGTCAACCCAACCCGTCTTATCTCATCACCATTGCGACTCTCTAGTCACAAGACTGTTTTCCAAAAATGCTGGCTTTCTGCATTTAAGCTCCCCGTTTCTTACGACCAATACAAGGCCGTACTCCAGATTCTTCACAAGTCAATCATCCCCAATATGATCCAGCCACAGATGCTGCTTGACTTTTTGACTAACGCATATGACGCCGGTGGACCCATCTCAATTCTTGCTCTTAACGGTCTCTTTTCACTGATGCAAAAATATAACCTCGAATACCCCAACTTTTATGCAAAACTGTACCAACTCTTTGATAACTCCATTCTCCATGTCAAGTACCGTTCCCGGTTCTTGCGTCTTGTGGACGTTTTCCTTTCATCAACCCACGTGGCTGCAAACATTGTGGCATCTTTTATTAAGAAACTTTCCCGTCTGGCGCTCTATGCCCCTCCTGCTGCTATTGTTGCCATTGTACCCTTCATTTACAATCTTCTTAAGCGCCACCCAACATGTATGGATTTGATCCAGCGACCAGACTACGATGCTGGAGATGATGATGGGTTTATGGATCCATTTGACGATAACGAGATGGATCCTCTTTACACAAACGCTATTGAATCGTCTTTATGGGAGCTTGAAACATTGCAAACACACTATCATCCGAACGTGGCTACCCTGACACGTATTATTTCGGAACAATTTACAAAGGAAAGTTACAACATGGAAGACTTTTTGGATATGTCATACAGCACACTGATGGAGGCTGAACAAACTAGACGTTTGAAGGCACCTCCAGCCCTGGAGTTTGAGACTTTTGATAGAATCTTTGGGTTTAAGCGACCAGATCAAGGTGAAGTGGAAGATGAGGAGATTGATGAGGGCGTGAATCCTCCCATGATGGTTAATTGGGTTTTTTAAATAAATAAATAAACAAACAAACAAATAAAAAAATATATATATATAGAATAAAAAAAAAAAAAAAGAAATCAAGTAGAATGCTCATAAAATCATTAAAAAAGATAAAAAAAATTTTTTTTTTATATAAAAGACAAGGGGGAGAGGAAAAGAATCTCATACTCTCCCACCATTTAATCAGTAGGTAATATACCCGTCCTGTTTTAATTTGCGCATATATTCCAGAGTATGCTCATAGGTCCACATGGTGACAGCGCTTGCAGGAGCACTTTTTATGATGGACACAAACAAGCCCTTGTATAATCCAAAAACTCCCTCTTGCCGTAGAATCATGATTGCCGTAACGAATGGATTACGGGGGTACTTTGGGATTGTCCCTGAGAGGTACTTTTCACGTGTAGGGCCTTGGACTTGTAACCGTTTGCGAACCACGTCAAAGGGGAATAAAGCAGTTTTGGCAAAGATTCCTGCCAGCAGGCCTGCAATTGCTTCGTGAGAGTTTGCGACCAGAGTTTTAAGAGAGGTTATGGTGAATTTCGGTATAGATGCAGTAGTAGTAGTAGTAGTAGTGGTATTATTATTGGTCTTGTCTATATTGCTGAGAGATTGGGTGGATGGAAGAATATAAATTAATCCTTGACTAAGTTTTTCGTATGACATGAAAAAAAGTCCCATATAAGGGACCATGGTAAGCACGGCGGGTGCAACGCCACGATAAAATCCAGAAACACCTTCAAGATGGTAGATCTGCCGTATGGCTTGGTATAACGAGGTATATACTTTAGGATTCCCCGGGGTAGCTTGAACAGCGAAGCGGGTCCTCAGGAGATCAAAGGGGTATGTAAGAGTAGTCGCAACACAGGCTGAAGTTGCGCCGGATGCAAATGATTTTGCAGAGTCGGATGTATTTGGGAGGGCTGTTGCTAGCATATTAGAGGTCCATCGGTACGTGGTGAATTGTGCTGCTCCGTAAGCAATGTATAATATTTCTGCAGGAACGTTGCCTTTAAATAGTGCCTATTTTGATTCAAGTTAGATAAGGGAGATCAGATCTTGTGGGAAAAAAAAATAAAAAAATAAAAAAAAATAAAAAAAAGACAGACAAACTTACAGTGAATCCTTCTTGATAAGCAATTGATTTGAGCTTATTAAATATCCGACGCCCAGTGCCATGTGTAGGAGAATTTGAATTGACTTCTAATTGGAGTCTAATCTTGACTACATCCAATGGAGCTATAACTAGTCTTTTTTATTTTTTTGTTTTTAAATATATATATATATGGTAACTATTGTTAGTTTGAAGATATTTAGAGTGTGGGTGCATTCAGCCATAAGAGATTGGAAGAAAGTGTCTGAACATAAAGATTGAAATTGAAACAGAAAAGGAAAAAAAAAAATACATACCTTGATACAAGTCCTGCAACTGCTCCAGAGACTGTGGATTCAAAGGGAACTACGCGATTCTTATCGAGTGATCCGGTGGTTTGATCTTGTTGTTTAAGATTGTTATTGTTGATATTGTTGATATTGGTTATAGTCCGTGGGGGGGTTTGTTGAGATGATGACCCCGCAGCAGCTGAGTTTTGAGTTGCAGAGACTGCCAGCCCCGCAGCCATATCTTTTGAAGAGATTGCTGGCAGGTTGATTTTCTGCGATGACGGTGACGACGACGACATTTGATTTCTTAAAAAAGAAAAAGGCAGAAAGAAAGAGAAAGAGAAAGAAAGAGAGAGAAAGAAATAAAAAGAAAAAAAAATAAAATTCGAGGGAATATATATTTAAAATTTTTGTCAAAAAAAAAAAAAAAAAAAAAAAAAAAAAGGTTTTTTAATGACACAAATCGAATACTTTTGGAAGAACATAAAAAATAAATAAAAAAAAGTTTTTAGCGGCACACGGCTATTAATGGTAGCCACTGTTCTTTTTTATTTATTTATTTATTTTTTTTTTAAAAGCTATTGAATGAATGAATGAATGAATGAATGAATGAATGGGAATATTTTATTTTTAAAAATTGAAAAGAATTTATTTAAATTTTTATTTAAATTTTTGAATGTTTTTTATTTTATTTTTTTTTTTGTATAAAAATATTCTATTTAAATTATCTGCTTCGCGAACCCAATTGTTTTTTTTATATATAACAAAAATAACGAAATCTTTTTTTTCCCAATTAGGAAAAATTTTATCCACCCTTTGAAATTTTTTTTTTTTTTTTTACAGGGCTTTTATTTATATAATATATAATAGTTGTTATTATTGTACAACCATTAGAACCAAAAAAAATAAAAATAAAATATTTCTTCCCATATCATCAACCTAACACTAACCCAACCCAACACAACACTAACAAACATAACCATGTCAGATTTCCCATTACCATCAATCCAAACATCCATTCTTACACAAGTTGACGGTTCCTGCGAATGGTCACAAAATACAACTACTGTCATCACTTCTGTTAGTGGTCCCATAGAAGCAAGAACTAGAGATGAAATCCCCACAGCCGCAACAGTTGATCTTATTGTCCGACCACAAATCGGACTTTCAAGTATGTTTATTTCTTAATGAAAAAAAAAAAAATAAAAATTTTTTTTTATTAAGTCTTTCTAACAAAAGTATACTTTAAATAGCAACTAGAGAACATCTCATGGAAGAAAAAATCCAAAATGCATTTTCTTCAATCATTTTTAAAGTCTTAAATCCACGCGCACTAATCCAAGTCGTTGTACAAGTCATTGAAGCTGGAGAATTACCAAAATACGTATGTAGTATTTGAGCTCTTTTTTTTTTTTCTTTTTTTTTTTCTTTCTTTCTGACAAAACTTCTCTCTCTCTCTACAGAATGTCCTTGAACTCTCTGCAGCAATAAACTCTCTTTCAATCTCTCTCATTGATGCTGGTATCCCGCTCTTTAGTATAGCTTGTGCTGCTCCAGCTGCTGTCATTGAAAAGAAAGACGAACCTCCCCAAATTATTATTCATCCTACTTCCCAGAAACTTAAAGAAGCTTCTTCTTGGCATATTATAGTCTATGAAATTAAGGAAAATAATCCTACAAGACTTGTCCTTTGCGAAAGTACAGGTGAATTTACTAAAGATCAACTATATAAAGTTCTTGAGCTTTCTGCTGAAGCTGCCGCAAAATCTTTCCAATTTATTAAAGCTGCTACGGCTGAAAAACTCAAAAGAGATTTCAAATGGAAGAATTAAGTAACATAATAATAAGTTTCTTTTTTTTTTTTTTTTCTTTATAAAATTTTAATATTTTTCTTTATTCTTTTTTAAAAGGGGGTGGAGGGGGGACATTACTATAAAAACAATTTAAAAAAAAAAGATATACAATTAAACGAAACTCCCTTCATCAATTTAGTTTTCCAACTTGAGCTTCTCAAAAGTATCAACAACAGCCTGAAGACCAGAAATCTCAGCAGCAAAGTTCTCAAGTCTCTTCTGATTAGCCTCACGAACCTCAGGACGAACCTTAGTCTCGTAGTCCTTAACATTCACCTGCTTCTCCAACTGAGCCTTGCTCTTCTCAGTCTTGGAAATCTTGCTCTTAGCCTTTTCAATCTCAGCATCAAAATCAACATGACCCTTGACAATTGCAAACACTGAAACTTCAGGTGAAACAACTGAAACAACTGATCCAGAGGGGACCTTGTCATCAGCTCCCAAAACTTCAAGCTTGGTAGCTGCCTTGACCAAAGACAGAATAGAAGCCTCCTGCTCGGAAATGGTCTTTTGAATTTCACCAGTAGTGGCCTGAACCAAAATAGTGGCATTCTTCAAAATATTGTACTGAGCAAGAATCGATCTGGCACCCTTGACAACCTCAAGAATCAGATTGTAAGCAGATTCAGCCTCAGGGTTATTGGCCTTCTCATTAAACTCAGGGTAAGCAGCAATACTGATCGAGGCAGGTGCATCAGCATGTTTGGGAATTCTCTGCCACAGCTCCTCAGTAATGAAGGGCATGAAGGGGTGGATCAGTCTCAAGGCTCCCTCCAATGAAATGTAAAGAGTATCTTGAGCAGACTTCTTCTCCTCAGGAGTACCCTCAACAATCAGGTACTTGGAGTTCTCAATGTAAACATCACACAGCTCGTAAAGCCAGTAGCTATACACAGCAGTGGTGGCAGTAAGGAAATCACGCTCATCAAGAGCCTTGGAAATGGTATTTGCAGCAGTAGTGTACTTGTGGAGAATCCATTTCTCAACAAGAGATTCCTTTCCAGAAGGCTCCAAAGAAGCAGGGGGCTTGTAGTCATCTCCCAATCTCATGAGAGCAAACTTGGTAGCCTGGTAAATCTTGTTGCAGAACTTTCTGTAACCCTCAACACGCATAATGTCAAGATTGATGTCTCTACCACCAGTAGTGTAAGCACAAAGAGCAAATCTCAAAGCATCAGTACCACACTCGGGAATACCATTGGGGAAAGAAAGCTTCTGGCCAGCCTCAGCCTTGGCAATCTCGCGAGGATCAAGGTTACCAAGCTTAAGCTTGTCGTGAAGAGCCTGAAGAGGTGTACCATAGATGACGTCAAGAGGATCAATGACATTACCCAAAGATTTGGACATCTTTCTGCCCTGGGCATCACGCACAAGAGAATGGCAAAAGACCTCAGTAAAGGGAACCTCACCAGTGAGCTTGATACCAAGCATAATCATACGGGCAACCCAGAAGAAGAGAATATCCCAGCCAGTTTCCAGAAGAGACATGGGGTAGTACTTCTTCATGTCCTCAGTCTTCTCGGGCCAGCCCAAAGTAGAGAAGGGCCACAGACCAGAAGAGAACCAGGTATCCAAAACGTCCTCATCTTGTTCAAGAGTGTACTTAAGATCGGGGAACTTCTTGGCTGCCTTCTCCTGAGCCTCCTCAAGAGTTCTGCCAGCAATCCACCATTGGTTATCAGCAGGATCCTGCTCAATAGAGCTATCCTCAGCCTTGACAAAGTAAACAGGACATCTGTGACCCCACCAAAGCTGTCTAGAAATACACCAATCCTGAATGTTTTCCAGCCACGAGAAGAATTCATTTTCAGAAGTCTTGGGGAAAATGGTAATCTTGCCCTCCTTGACAGCCTTGATTGAGGCCTCAGCCTGGGGCTTTTGAGCAACCCACCATTGGGGCTTGAGAAGAGGCTCAATAACATCGTTAGACTTAGCACAGAAGGGGATGGTCATTGGGTTGTCTTCAGATCCAATCAAAAGACCCTTCTCCTTGAGCTCCTCAATGACCTTCTTTCTGGCATCAAATCTCTTTAAACCAGCGTAAGGTCCAGCATTCTCGTTGAATGTACCGTCATCATTCATAATGTTGATCATCTCAAGGTTATGTCTCTTACCAGTGGCATAATCGTTAGGATCGTGGGCAGGGGTAATCTTGACGGCACCAGTACCAAACTCCATGTCAACAGCCTCGGAATCAGTAATAATGGGGATCTTTCTTTCGAGGAAGGGATGGATGGCAAACTTGCCGTGAAGGTGCTTGTATCTGGGATCATCAGGGTGAACGGCAATACCAGTGTCACCAAACATAGTCTCAGGACGAGTGGTGGCAACAATGAGCTTCTCATCAGAGTTCTCAATGGGGTAAGCAAAAGAAGTAATGACACCAAACTCAACGGGCTCGCTGTATCCAGGAACGCTCAAAAGAGTTCTGCCAGTGATTTCCTTGTTCTCAACCTCAAGATTGGAAAGAGTGGTATTCAAGGCAACACACCAATTAACGAGACGGCTGGCACGGTAAATGGTACCATCATCATGGAGACGAACAAAGGCTTCAACGACAGCCTTGGAACGGGTGTCATCCAAAGTAAAGGCCTCGTAGGTCCAGTCGTAGGAAGCACCCAAGCTGTGAAGCTGCTTCTTGATGCGAGAGTGGTAGTCTTCCTTCCATTCCCAAACAAGATCAACAAACTTTTCTCTGCCAAGATCGTGTCTAGTCTTCTTCTCCTTGTTCCAAAGCATCTTCTCAACGACGGATTGAGTGGAAATACCGGCGTGGTCGAATCCGGGGATAAAGAGGGTAGTTTTGCCCTTCATGCGGTTAAATCTAATTAGTGAGTCCTGGATGGCAATGGTAAGAGCGTGTCCAATGTGGAGAGCACCAGTGACATTTGGTGGAGGAGCAGGGATGATGAACTTTCCCTCGGGCTTGATTTCACCAGACTCAGTAAGAGCAGGCTTGAAGAAGCCCTCCTTAGCCCACCAGCGTTCCCAAGAAGATTCAACATTCTTAGGGCTGTAAGCTTTAAGAGCGGGATCATCGAGACTGACAAGAATCTTCTTTTCGCCAGAAACGGTCTTATCAACAAACTCAGGGGTAGGTTCAGCAGCAGGTTTCTTGTCGGCCTTCTTTGGCTTGGGCTCATTAGATGACTGTGCCTTAGCTTGGGCTTGCTTAGCCTTCTTAGCCTCGAATTTGGCAAGCTTTTCAGCCTTCTTGCGCTCGTTTTCTAATTGTTTGGCAGTCTTGACCACAGGGGCTTCACCAGTTGCAGGGGCGGCGGCAGCAGCAGCAGCGGGTTGCTGTTCTTTTTCAGACATTTTGCTTGAATAATAAAATAACTGCTGGTGATTGAAGTTGTTTCTAAAAGTTGATTTAAAATTCAGGCAAACGTGATTCTAAAAAATGTGGTGTTAATTATTTTTGTTTTTTTATCAAAAAAAAAAAAAATAGAAATTCATTTTTCACATACAACAGGTGTCGATCTGATACACCGGGTAGGGAGATGAATTAATTTCAGCAATATGACTGAAAGTCTGGAGTTGAGAAATAGACAGGAAAGGAAATGTCGTAAAACACAGAATGTTTTAAATTAAATCACAATGTGTTTGGACGAGTTTTTTTTTTCTATTGATTAATTCCAGATTGTTGAAAAAGGGTTGAAAAAAAAAAAAAAAAATCTTTGAGTCATCATTGTGTAACAACAGGACCTTTAAGGGGAGAAGGATTTGTTATGTTGTAACTGTAATATATATATATATATATATATATATATTACGTATGTAGGGTAACTTTTAAAGAAATTTAGTTTCTGAAAAGTTTATTTTGGCAAATGTGTGCACTTTGGAAAAAAAAAAAAAAATTTGTATCAAGCTGAATGAATACTTTAATTATATACAAAAACTCAATCACTTAAAAAAAAAAAAAATGGGGACCAGGATTTATTTGGGATTTTGAATGTTATTTAAGGTGAAAGAAAGAAATAAAAAAGAATAATAATGAAAAATAAAAGTCTTTAATAAAATGCATTGTTCTGTTTTTTTTTTATTTTTTTTTTCTGGATTCCTTTCAGCAATTTCATTTTTTGTTTTCTTTAATCCGCGGGGAAAAAAATACTCGAGTTAATTCAAAGGGGAAAAAAAAAAAAAAAAAAAAAAATAGAATACATTATCTTTTAGTATTCAAAAAAAAAAATACACTTAGATTTTTCTAGTTAAATTGATTCAAAAGAACGGTTTATCTTTATACTTGTTTTTGTTTTTTTCTTACTTACAGTGGTCACTTTTTTTTTTAAAAAAACGGTGTAATGATCGACATGAAATAATAATGATAATAATGATAAAAAAGGAGCATACCAAAGGAACCTTCCTACCATGTTACTTTAAAGCTCAAATAAACATATTCTTCTTTTAATGTTTCGACTTGGTTTGGATTTGTGAACATGATTTCTTTAATATTTTGACTTCTCTTCTCTTGCTAATCCTGAGGGTTGAATTTTGCTTTGACAATTGACAAATGAAAAGAATGAAGGAACTTTCTTCTAACTTCGCTAACTTTTTTTTGTATTTTTTTTTCAGATACATGGGTCTTTTAGATTGATGCTAGATATATATAATAACTTGTAAATTTTATTGAAAATAGACCCTCCAGATTTAACTAGTCGATGTATTTGTATCTCATTAAGCTTGGAGATGGTCTTTTGGATAAAATAAAAAAAAAAAATTGCAATTGAAATGAAATGAAATGAAATGAAATTAAATTAAATTAAATTAAATTAAATTAAATTAAATTAAATGAAAAGTTTATGTTTTTCAAATGTCTTAACTCTTCGGTTAGAGCTTTTTTCTCTTCTTCTTTTTCCCAAGTATTAATTTGAAACAGCCCTTGATTATCAACTGCTTAAATATCGCAAAAAAAAAAAAAATCATCATAAAAGGTTTAAACAAAAGTCTTTCGTGAGAGGGGGTTCTTTTCAAGTTAAATAGGTATTTAAAATAGGCTGATCTATTTAAAATTTTCTGATAAACATCCATAGGAGTTCTCTGCATCAGCATTATAGAGAAAAAAAAAAGTTTTCTTTTTTTTTCATTATTTCTTTTTTTTTCTTCTTCCCCCTTAAATTAATAGAAGAAATAAACTTGTAAAGCAAGAAAGATGTTTCATTTTATGGAGAAATAAGTTGGAATCAGATTGGTATTTTGTATGAAAGAGGTAGAATAAATAGCAATTAAAAACTTGAAGGGTTTGCCTTTTTCAAACATCACCGGAAAGACTGAATACACATACCTAAATCATTTTATATCAAGTTAACAATACTCTAACAATATTTTGTTTAAATAATTTTACCATCAAGATAATATCTTTTTTCCAAAATAAAAATATATTCTAATACTTCCCTTTTTTTTCGAGTTTTTGGTGGTGCTATTGCGTTGAAGTAGTCTTTACCACCAATATGAGTCTGCTGAGGCGCATTGTACATAGTTTTGATATTTAAAGAAGCTCATTTTGCTTTAAAAAAACCTTGTATCAAAAAAAAAAAAAAAAAGTATCCAGAAAGTCAACTCTTGAATATTTTCTTTTCCTATTAATGCTCATGTAGAATAAGCTTGGTATGAAAAAATGTAAAAAAAAAAAAGGGGGGAGGACGAAAGGGGACGTAGTGAAGGCTTTCATTTTTGTAAAAGATGATTTTATTGGTTAGAATTTAAGACAAGAATGGCACATTTTTACTTCTACTCCAGGTTTTTGAAAAGGGACTTTTATTTCTGGAGGGAGGTTTTTTTTTTTTTTTTTCTTCTTAAAACAATATAGTTGATACAAGATATTGAAATATAAATTGAAAATGTTTAAATAGTAGTGTTCATTTAATAAACTATGGGATTAAGTTAAAAAATTTAAAAAAATATCCAAACTTTTATTCTTAAATAAATTCCCATAACTTTGGTTATTTCTTATATTACCATAGATAGAGAGAAAAAAAAAATTGAAAACATATTCTCAGGATAAAGCCTTAAATGAAAAATATATATGCCTATGAAATTAACTACCACACACCAATTCTTTTTTTTTTTTTCTATTAACAAAAAAATACTATTGTAAAAATTGAAATCTAAAGCAATGAAGAAAATAAAAGTATTTGTGTGTATATATATTTAATTCTGATCATATTTGTAATCTTGACTGATTAAAAAAAATGATAACAATGCTTCAACGACCTTGTTTAATATTCTGAATGTCTGAGATAATTGCATAATCAAGTAAGCAATTAAAAATTAACCCTTTAACAACTACATTTGGGTAAGTTTTTCAACTCTTTTTTTTTTTTTTTCTTTTGAATATTTCAATTTTGATTCACAGATTTGTTTTGTTTTTTTTTTTTAAAGAAAAAAAAAAAACTTTTAAACAACGCCTTAATATTGTATCTATTAATTTATTAATAAATATTTTCAACTTAAGGCATTTATTTATTATTATTTTTTTCTAATGTAATCAGGAAAATGGACAATGTCGTAGCTGAATGTCGGTTGATTGATTCCGATTGTTAAGAATTTTAAGACAATAGATTTTTGAGTTTAAAAAGGTAAGGCTTTATGTTGACAAATGAAATTATATCTATGAACATGTAAAACTCCCCAAAAAAGAAACTATTTTTTAAGATATACCTTATATTAGAAATTGTCAAATCAGTTTTTTCAAAAAAAAATAAAAATAAATAAATAAATAAATACGAAATAAGCCAAAAAATAATTGGGTATTTCTATAACTCTTTGTTGAAACATTACTCATATCTAGAAAAAAAGGATCTCAATATTACAGAACAATCTTTCGGTAAAATGGTTGACGATATTTATAATCATTGAAGATAGTAAATATCGGATATACTCAAAAGGAAATATTGAATTTGCAAAGAAAATGAAGATTAAAAAAATAAAAATAGGGCGTAATTTAATCGGAAATTCGGTCAATAAATGATTCCGTTTATTTTTAAGTAAGAACGTAAAAGGAAAGAAATAAATAAATAAAAAAACAAGTTAATTAGTTATATTTTAATGAAGAATTGAATAATAATTTATTATTGAAAAAAAAAAAATAATAATAATAATAATTGTTTAACCCTAAAAGGGAAATAATCCCTGGTCCTTATTGTTTTAAAATAATTCTTTTTTTTTTTAATTTGAAAAGAGAGAAAGAAAGAAAGAAAGATTTAGATATTTTTTCAAAGTAAAAAAAAAAAATAATAATAATCTAATAAAGGAAATTCCGTTTCTTAAAGGATTATATAATTAGAATAGAATCATAAAGATAACGATAAAAATAAAAGTTCAATTATTTAAAATAAATGCTTTAAATTTTTTTTTGTCTAATTGAATTAGAATTTGACAGAACTGTTCAATTGGGACTTTGTAAAAATCTAGTCAAGTTTTTTTTTTTTTTTTTAATTTTTAATTTTTTTTTAAATAAAAAGTGCATAGTTGTTATTATCATACGATTATTTCTTCGATTTCTTTTCCAATTTTAGAATAGAATATTGAAAAAAATTCATTTTTTCTAAATACATTGATATTTTTTTTTAAAAAAAAAAAAGAAAAAGATGAATAATAATAAGAAGAAGAAGAAGAAGCAGAAGAAGAAGAAGAAGAAGAAGAAGAAGAAAAAAGAAGAGTTCATGGGATCAAATCCGACTTCTGAGTTTGGATTAATCTAGATGATTACCCTTTGGGTGTTTGTATGTGAAGATTCCCCAAAGTCACGATGGTTGAATTCTGGTAGCTTCTCCCAAAATAATAGAAAAAAAAAAAAAAAAAAAAAAAAGGAAAAATAATGCATGTAGCCGATGATAGTAACTAATTAATTTAGAAAAATGTTGCAACATCAGACTTAAATAAGCGCTTGTCCCAATACAATGGTAACAGTATATACATAAATGCATGAGCTGATCTCATCATATGAAGAGAAAGAGAAAGAAAAAGAATTTTACATGATTATTTTTATTATTTTTTATTATTTTAATAATAATACTACAATACATATAAGTAATAATTACTGGTAACAATTGAACAAAACAAAACAAAACAAAAAATCACAATCATGTAAGCTTTGGTACAAGTTGTTGTAAAATTTAAAAACCAAAAATAGGACCAAAGATTGATGGTTATGAGATAATAAACGGTGAAGATTGCATATAAATATGAGAGATTTCATTGGTAGTTTTTATTTTTTTTTAATTTAATTTAAACATGGATATTTGTTTTGAGAAAAAAAGAGCTGGCAGTTTGGGATTTTTTTTTAAATGAAATAGATAAATAAATGTAAAGTGCAA